CGGATTGGCTCAGCTCCAGCCATTGTGGCCACTTGGGGAGTGAAACAGTGAACAGAAGTCTGCTCTCTCGGTCTCTCCTTCTCTCTGTAAATCTCCCTTTCCAATAAAAAATAAAGAAATATTAACATTCTCAGGATGCAGTTGCTCTTAACCCACCCCAAGGACCCTCAGATGTTACAAGGTCACGCTTACACTTCCAGACTAGGTACTCTCCCACCTGCTGGCCGATGAGGGATGTGGTTGTCTAGGACCAGATCAGGGAGTACTTGCAACAGCTGCAAATGGGGCAGGAGACACAGCCAAGGTGTTTCCAGGCAAGGTGGTGTCACTGCTCCTGAGGCAGATGTAACCTGAGTCCCCACCTGGGAACCAGAAACAAGCTGAGCAGAGGCTTCGGGAGAGGCTGCGGGGCTCTGGGCACCGAGCAGGCTGGGCTGGCCCCGAAGCGTTAGGTAAGTCCCTCCTGGAGCAGCCGGGGGAGATGGGGACAAACAGGTGTTCCACACCGGGTCCTGAGGTATGAGCCGAGAAAGGACGCTGAGGGACAATCCCTGACGGTATTACCAGACACCCCCCCGTCCCCGCCCCCTAGCCTCCATCTTGGCTCAGCCACGCAAAACTGTCGCCTGTGCCACTCCACAGGTCAGCCCTGGAGGACCCGGCCTTGCCCGGGAGCCGGCAGCTGCACCGCCGTCCTTCTGGCTCTAACCCCGCTTCTGGCCCTGGAAGGCTAGCTTGCTCCTGGGGATGGAGGAAGGACGAGCAGGCGCTCGCCTGGGGAATCGGTGCTAGACGGCAAACCCAAGCCCCACCCACCCTGCCGGTCCCGGCGCCAGGCCTGTTTGGGTTCTCGGAGGAAGGGGTCCTGCGTCCCGCTGCACAGTGGAGCAGTGTACAGAGGTGGGGAGCCCCACCCCGCCCGGGGCATCCCTCAGCGTCGGGTTTGCAACCCCAGACCCGCAGCCTGCTGGGATTTGTAGTTAGTGAGACCGGCGTCAGGACCGCGGAGCGCTCGCGAGAGTGTGCTTGCGTGTGCGTGCGTGCTCCCTTGGGTCCCCAGGTCCGCGGTGGCTTCGGGGTCTTCTGCTCCCGCCCCGCTGCCAGCGGGTTTATAGTTTGTAGGGGCTTGGTCGCGGCTCATTGCTTGTTTGCCGCAGGAAAGCTGGGTCTGGAGGGGTGCTTAAGGCGAGCTGTGGCCATAACAAAAGGCTAAAATTGGGGTGGTCCAGGAGCCAACAGCTTCTTCCAGGTCTCCCAGGCCGGTGCAGGTGCCCGAGACTTTGAGCCATCCTCTACTGCTTTCCCGGGCCACAAGCGGGGAGCTGGGTGGGAAGTGGAGAAGTGACAGGAGCTAGTACCCGTATGGGATGCTATGTTTGAAGGTGGAGGATTAACCTGTTGAGGTGCCAGCCCCACTTAGTGTTTTTGTTTTGTAGGATTTGTTTTATTTTTTATTTGAAAGGTGGAGTAGTAGAGAAATTGCCAACTCAGTACACCTGCCCCAACTTAGCGTATGTTTGATTCCTTGAAAATATAATCAAGTCTCCTATACTATTTATGCACCTTTGTGAGCCTATAATTATTTTGCAACAAACTGACACAGTGGTGAGTGAACCCGGGAGATCGGGGAGTGTGAACAGTTAGTCATTAAACACACTGCAATACAGGCTGTCAGCAGCTGTGGTCGGGTGAGCGGTTCACCTGTAAGAGCAGCCACCTTGTGAGTTGGGAGAGTAGCAGCCTCATAATATGGACTGTGGCCAAGCAACACCCTGTAACTGCAAGACTTCCTAGTTAGGGTGAGTTTACTAGGGACCGAGTATGTGATTTGCATCACTGGGTGGAAGTGGGAATTTAGATCCCTTTTAGCTCAGGGGAGTCCAGCCACGCTCTGGGGCCATGAGGAGGAGAGACAGAGAGAGGTGTTATGTCTGCTGATTTCACTCCCCAAATGGCTGCAAGGGCTGGAGCTGAGCTGACCCAAAGCCAGGAGCTTCTTCTGGTTCTTCCACATGGGGGCAGGGTCCCAAGGCTTTAAACCATCCTCTGCTGCTTTCCCAGGCCACAACAGAGAGCTGGATTGGAAGTGGAGTATCTGGGACATGAATGAGTATCCATATGGCATGCTGGTGCACAGGGCAGAGGATTAGCATGCTAGTCCTGCGCTAGATCACTGCGCTGGCCCCAGGCACCCAATTCGTTGAGTTGTGACCTGCTGCCTCCCACAGTGCCTGTGAGCAGGAACTGGGCTAAAGAGCAGAGTCAGACTCAAACCCAGGCACTCTGACAGGAACCCAAGTGGAGGCTTAACTGCGTGCCAGAAGTCTGCCTTTGAGGGTTTTTTTTTTTAAGATTTATTTATTTTTATTACAAAGTCAGATATGCAGAGAGGAGGAGAGACACAGAAGAAGATCTGTCCAATGATTCACTCCCCAAGTGACCGCAATGGCTGGTGCTGCGCGGATCCGAAGCAGGGAACCAGGAACCTCTTCCGGGTCTCCCACACGGGTTGCAGGGTCCCAAGGCTTTGGGCCGTCCTTGACTGCTTTCCCAGGCTACAACCAGGGAGCTGGATGGGATGTGGCGCTGCTGGGATTAGAACCGGTGCCCATATGGGATCCCAGCATGTTCAAAGTGAGGACTTTAGCTGCTAGGCCACTGTGCCGGGCCCGCCTTTGAGGTTTTTAAAGGAAGCTATGCAGGGCCCTGCTTTCCCAGGCACGTTAGCAAGAAGCTGGATCAGAAATCCCAGCTGGAGCAGCCGGAACTCGAACCAGCACTTGTATGAAATATTGATGCTGCAGGTGGAGGCTTTGCCTACTGTGCCACGGCACTGACCCCGTAAATCAATCTTAAACAAAGTTAAATTGTAGATCAAGTTTAATGGCCAGAGAAAGGCTGAATCAAGGCTTGGAATGAGCAGAAAGGGGATTTTGCTGTTGGAATCGTTAAATATTGCCAATAGATCCTTAAGCAGTCCCTTGCAAGGAGGACAGGCAATAGCTCAGGCTGGGCTGCTCATGTCAGTTGGAGTCCTGCAAAGGGACACTGCTGGTCCAGTCCTTCCTCTTGTAGATGAGGAACGAAGGGCCTGAGAGGAGCACCTGGCAGCCAGTTGGAAGCCAGATGGGGAACTCGCTGGGAGGAGCCATTTCAGGAAGTTCTCAAAGCAGAAATCGGGGTGCGCTCTGATCTGTGGACATGCGAGCAGGAAGGCAGACACCGCATGCGGCTCCAGGCATGCCACATGCGTCAGGAGCCAAGTCTGTGCAGAAATCAAGGTCTGGTGCCTTCCGGCTGGTTTATCTCAACCACATGTTCATCCTGGAAGTCAGGGTGTCTTCATAGTCATGGGGCAAGCACCTTGCGCGTGTCCAAAGAGCCTCCGGCAGGTCCTCTCACCATGTCCCCCCACCGCCCCCACAAGCTGCTCCTGCTTCCCAGGAGAGCCTTGGAACACTGTCAGAGACTGGAGCAGTCTCCGATTGTGCGGAAGTGCTCTGTGATCTGCAGATGCGTTCAGGAGTATTCTGAGGGCCTGCCATCTGCTGTGTGCTCTGCTGATCGCAGAGGCTGGAGACGGGCCCCGGGCTAGAGGCGTTCATGGGGTCTGGGGGGTAGCAGACCATGAAATGTGGTGGCGAGAGAACTTTCTGGGGTAGTGGGAGTTTTGTATCTGGGGCAGAATGTGGGTTCCATGGGTGTTGCCTATGTCAAAGCTCATTGAACTCTACACCCCTGATTGGTGCATTTTGTGAAGAAATGTGAAGGCTGTGGGAGGACCAGGCCTGCTAGGGCCAGCCAGGGGCATGTAAGCTGCTCCAGGATGTAAAAGCGCCTTTGCTGCTGGAGAGTGTCACTGCTGAGTTTGCCCCATGAGGGGTAGACCAGATGGTCCGGAGAGCCTGGTGGCACATTATGGGAAAAGGAGTGTGTTGAATTGGGCGTGTAGGGAGCACCACAGGAGGAACACACACACACACACACACACACACACACACACACACACACACACAGCCCCGGTGGGATGTGGTCATTCTTGGCAGACCAGATGGGTAGGGCTTGGATTATTTTCTGCTGCTCCAGGCCCAATTCTTGGGCCTCAAACTCACTCATTCTGGTTGGACCTTTCCATGAGACTGCCCAAGAAATGAAAAAGATCCCCACAGCCACAGTAGTGCAAGGCCACAGCCTGGTCCTGTGTCAGCTGACAGTGTTAGGGGAAGTGTGGACATCGGCCTGACGGGAAGGCCTGGGTGGGGGCCAGGGCAGACTCTGGCCGGCCCCCTTCCTGTGAACTTGGAGAAGGTGCGGTGTTGCAGGTGAGGCTGGCCTGGGTTAAAATCTGAACTAGCAGCGTGATAGCTGGGCGCCTTCTAGGCCTGTCTGAGCTTCTTCATCTAGGCAGGGTCAGCCTGCGGTGGGGCTGGTGAGAGGTGAACCCTATGAGCTAGCAGCTTCCGGCATGGCAAGGCTGTCCTCGGCCTCCCCTACTCCGCCAGCCCCCAGCTCTGCCTCTTTCTCGGGTCCTAGAATTGCCCGGGACAGGCGATCCCATGCAGCCAGCTCAGAGCCCTTCCCTGTGACTCACTCCAGCGGCTTCTGCCGCTCACCCCGGGGGCGAGGGCGGAACGAGGGCGAGGACGGGCGGCGGCTGCCCAAACCGCGGCCAGAGCCAGGACGGGGCTGCAGGCAAGTACAGCGCGCACTCGGAGGGGGCCTGCCGGGAGTCGGGGTTTGGGGGGTCTGCTCTGGCTTTGCTCTCTCCCTGCACCTGGCGGCGGTCGCTGGGAGCGCCCCATCTCCTGGGGGCGGAAGAAGCAGGGTCCGTGCTGTTTTTGTTTGCATTTGGGACACACTGCTGAGAAGGCTCTGCGGTTCAGTTAGCAGCTCCTTCTTCAGACGCGGGCTAGAGAGTTACCTGCTTTTTTTTGGTTTTGCTGCTCATTTGCAAACCTCTTCCTGTCCACCGGCTCCGCCTCCCTCGTGGCGCTGGGGCCTCCAGGGCCTGGGAGGCTCCAGTGTGGGAACAGATTCCCATTCATGCCCGTGCCCTCCGTGGGTGCAGAGTCGGAGCTGAGAGCCATCCGGGTGCTGACTGGACAGGAAAGGAATCCATTGGCCTCGCCTCCCAGGGGCTGGGCCGCCGCAAGGTGTGGCTGCAGGAGGGGGACTGGGCTGTGGTTTAGCTTGCCTTTCTCTGGCTAAACTCACAGCCAGGAGGAGGGGCAAGGCCTGGGTGACACAGGCCCCCAGGTACTGAGTTGTCTGCTAGGTGAGCAGCCAAAACCCAGAAGAGAAAGAAGTCAGATTCATTGGGTACCCATTGATGGATCATTCATTTCATCTTCACATTTGTGTGTGTGCCCATTTTACAGATCCTACACATAGAGGCCTCACGGGGAGGAGCTGCTGGCATTCTAAAGTGCAGCTGGTAAGCAAACTGTCCAAACCACTCCATCCCCTCCTTTACTTAAGATTTATTGATTTATTTCTCCAGCAGAGTTAGAGAGAGGGAGACGTGGAGAGATCTTCCACCCACTGTTTCACTCCCCAGATGGCCCCTTGGCTGGAGCTGGGCCAGGCCTAAGCCAGCAAGCAGCCTGGAGCTTTTTCTAGGTCTCCCATGTGGGTGGCAGGGCGCAAGCAGTTGAAACATCTTCTACAGTTCTTCCCAAGCCACCAGCAGGGAGCTGGATTGGAAGTGGAGCAGCCGTTTAGAACTGGCATCAGCTCCCACAGGGGATGCCCAGATTGTCCAACTCTCAACCATTCTACTAAGTTCCCGGGTGCCCCATGGGCTGGAAGTGTCCCTTGGGGTCCCCACTGGGCCATTTGGTTTCCGAGGTTGACAGTCTGGTGGTGGAGATGCTTGGGTGGCTGCTACAAGCTGTGTGTTCTCTAGAGAGAACATTTCACTTCCCTTCTTGCCCTAATGACACATTTAGCACAGACTGATTCCATCCTGAGAGACCTACGGCCATGGGGCACTCTGTTTTCTTCATGCTTTCCCGGATGGTCAGATAATGAGGTTTGCTTTGAGGGTCTGCTCCCTGGGAAGCCTTATACCAGGTTTCCTTCCACTGCTCTGGTCTGGGGGCCGGGTCTTGTCTCAGCAACTGGGACTCTGGGGCCAGAGCATGTGGCTGTGCAGCTCAATGCTCGCTCACTTTCTTTACAGCCCTACAGTTTGTGACCATGGACAGTCTCAGGCTGTCAGGACTAACCCCTGGGCCTTGGAGTGGGAGGGGTGGCCACCCTAGGGGCCTGTCTGAACTGTGTTTCCATTGGCATGAGTCAGAGTGCCCAATGGCCAGACTGTGACCAAACGGGCAATGTGCGCCCCAGCTGGTCATAGGGTGAGCTGCAGAGACTTCCTGCCATGCCCATGACGAGAGCCTTAAGGAGAATCAAAGGCCTGCATTCAAGACAGGGGCAGTGGGAGGAAAAAGTGGTGGGAAGCTAGAAGCTGGTGACCCCGCCCAGGACTTGTGACTGTCGCAGTTACAGCAGCCAGGGCCGTGCAGACGCCTGCTGGAGTTGGTGAGTGGAGCGAATGGCTTTACTGGCCAGTCCCAGCCTCAGCTGGCATCCAGGGTGGCTTTAGGCTGGGGTGGACCTCCAGCCTCCCGGGTGGGCCCCAGGGAGTAGCTGGCTTGGCGGCAGCCCCTGCTCAGGGTGTGGCAGGTGGGTGGGGTAGCCTGGAGGGGTAGGAGGGAAGTGAGAAGCCAGGGTGGGGCCGACTGGAGGAAGAGGAGCTGAAAGAGGCAGAGTGGGAGGAAGGAAGACGAGAGTGTGGGAAAGTGTCAGTGGAACCTGGGCCTGGGCGGTGGCCCCTAGGAGCAGGCCTGGCTGCCGAAGTGCAGAAACCAAGCCGGGCGCGGCGCTCCGCAGCCTGCTGTCCCTGGCGTCTCAGGCTAGGTTCCAGGTATGTTCTCTGGGAGCATGGGTGGTACCCGAGCCAAGCAGGCAGGAGGGCCTGGCTTCCGTGCAGGAGCTCCAGGCCTTCAGAAAGCTCTGGGCCGGCCTAGAGGTGGATTCTGGAACGGAGGAGTAGGGGAGCGGGTGGGCCATGCCTGGCCATTTGACAGAGAACACTGAACAAGATCCAAGCTGAGAAAAATCTGGTCTGGCTGGTCCAGGTAGGGTGAGGGAGGCAAAAAGAGGAGCACAGGGAAGGGTGGAGACCCACTGGTCCAAGCCCCTGAGAACTGGCCACAGCCCAGATGTGGGGGCCGAGGGGCGGTAGCTTCCTGTGCTGCCACCCCTCTGTACCCCTTGTCCTTCATCCTGCTAAGGACAAACAGGGCCCACCCAGGGAAGGGAGCTGGGGGCCAGGGTCTAAGGACAGGGATCACCGTGCCAGCACGATAGTGCCACTCTGACAGCCGTCAGACATTTGCTTCATGATGTACATGACAGTGTCCCTCTGCGTGGCCTCAGACGGGGCAGCTGTTAGCATGCCCCCACATCCCATATCGGGGTGCTGATTTCCACTTCCTGCTAATGTGCAGGTGACGACCCCGTGGGGAAACCCAGATTGGATTTTCTGCTTCTGGCTTCCACCTGACCCAACCCTGGCTGTAAAGGGCATTTAGGGAAGGAACCAGAGAACTGTTACTATCTTTTTGTAATGACTGAGCTGTAAAGGAGACAGGGCCAGCTCGCAGCCAGCAGGGCATGCCTGAGGCTGTGAAAATGTGATGAGCCCCTGTGCTCCCCTTCAGGAGCTGTTGCAGCCTGCCCCAGCCTGTTGCAATCCTGGGGTACCCCAGAAGTCAGGGTGTGAGGGTCCAGCCAGATCCAGAGAGGCTAAATACACTTATACAACAGGCCCTTCCAGGCTAGGGTCGTGGGCAGGTTTGTCACGCACTGCTGTGGCAGAGCAGAAAAACACAGAAGGGGCTGCCTCATGGACAGGTGAGGTCCCTGACACGCGGTGCTGAGGGAGAGAATGGGCGAGTACTCCAGTACACCGAGTTCACGCACGTGTGTTGAGAGGTGGGTGTGTGAACCAACCAAGATGAATCTGTCCATGTGCCTCAGAAAGCCAAAATACGGAGACTCTTTTTTTTTTTTTTTTTCAGAGAAAGCATGTTACAGGGTAGCCAAGTCAGGAGTAATGCCCAGCTCGGGCTCCTGGCTCAGGGGCCTGGGGCAGGTTTGTGTGGGTCAGGTTCAGTAGGAGGGAGCTGATAGGCAGAAATGCTGCTGAAAGGAATTCGGGCTGGAGCCAGGTTCACGCCGTGCTTGCTTTCCTAGGAAAGCATGATCAGACCTGTTGCTAAAGCAGAAAAAGGGGGAACTTGCAGGGAAAGAGTGGGAAGACATCACAAGCGTGGGGCGCAGGTGGAAGGCCGGGCGGTGGGCTGTCACATGCCGAGCAGGACCCGATAAGGGCAAAGATCTCTGTGAGCGGCGACATACGCGGTTCTGCCAACTTCCTGTCCCTGGACTTGAGCGTGTGGCTCCCTGCTTCATGGTGTCTTCCTGCTGCCCCCTTAAACCCTGGGCACCGTCACCCCAGGACCAAGCCCCTTGACAGGCCGTGAATGCGCTCGAGGGGGTTGCCTGGGTATGTAGTGGTGGCAGATGCCCCCCTTGGTCTGGCTGAGACATGGATGAAGCATCACTCACGCTAGGAGCCAGCCCCTGTGTGCTCGCAGGTGCGAGGGCACCCCAGAGATCAAGGTCACCGAATGTCCCAGGGGATTCTTAGCATGGCCAGGGGCCTGGTGTCACCCTGGAGGACGGGTAGGGTGTGGGGAGAAGAGAGCAAGAGGCTGGTTTGCCTTTTTACCTGAAAAGGAGGGAGGGGGGGACTAACTGATAGAAGAGAGGTCACCTCAGCACCTTCATTCTCCAGGTGCTCTCAACACCTGGTGCCGACCCAGGTCAAAGCCAGGACCCTGGAACTCAATCGAGGTTTCCCAGGAAGGTGCAGGGCCTCAACCCCCTTGAGCCACCACCTGCTGCTCCCAGGGTGTGGCTTAGCAGGAAGCTGGGATCAGAAGTAGAACCAGTGCCAAACGTAGGCACTGCCACAGGGGATGCAGGTACCCCAAGCAGAGCCATAGCACCGTGCCAAGCACTCGGCCTGGCACTGGGTTTCTTTGAAAGCCCCGCACGAGATCCCCACGTGCAAACAGGAGATGCTGCTCGGAACAGAGGCCTCACTGGCAGTATCAGCTCCCCTCCCAACTCAGCCTCGTTCTAGCCCAGGGGACGTAGACTCTCTAGAGCATGGGTAGAGAAGCAATCATCTGATGGTTCTTATGCAAGCATGGGAAGGGGAAGGCCTTACCAGGGCCCTTTGTACCGGCACAGAGAGCCCTGCAGGAGAGGAGAGAGTTTGTGCTCAGCTTTGAGTATTGCATGGGCTAGTGGGGATTAATAGCCAATCAGCAAGGGACAAGGACCCACAGAGGACACCTGTGGGGGCATCAGGAGTTGGTGGAGTTCTGGTCAACCTGACCCACCAGGATTCTTGCTGAGGGCAGGACAGGGAGCTCAGCCCTTCCCTGGGGCCAGGGCTGGAGATGCTGGAGGAGGGTGGGGAAGCTGATAAGTCGACCAGATGTCCAGGATGGGAAGCTCTGACTCAGCTTCAGCTGGGCTTTGCTGCTGAAACTTGATTTTACGTGGACACACTCTAGGAGCAAGTCCAGAGCCCAGCCAAAGGAAGACCTTGTTTTTGTTTTTAATATTGGTTTATTTTTATTGGAAAGGCAGATATACGAGCAGGAAAGACAGAAAGATCTTCTGTCCGCTAGTTCACTCCACTGGCCACAATGACTGGAGCCAGGCCAATCTGAAACCAGGAGCCAGCAGCCTCTTCTGGGTCTCCCACACAGGTGCAGGGTCCCAAGGCTTTGGGCTGTTCTTGACTACTTCCCCAGGCCACAGGCACAAGCAGGGAGCTGGATGGGAAGTGGAGCAGCCAGGATTAGAACTGGCACCCATGTGGGGTCACAGCGTGTGAAAGGCGAGGAATTTAGCCATTAGGCTACTGCACCAGACCCGACCTCAATTTTTATAAGGTCCCAATGAAGGAGAAGGCAGAAACCCCACACCCCCACTGCCACCCTTTGGGAAAGCCCTGTACATAGCAGCTGGGCGCTGCGACCCACCTACTCCTGAAGCTGTGTCTGCACTCCAGTCCCAGCCACGTGCGGCCGCTCACAGTAGCCTCAGTGCCGACCCACTGCCCCTCCCGAGGCTTGTCACTCTTCCCTCCCCACCTCCCCAGGCCTGAGTCACCGCTGGGCTGTCCCTTGCAGGGGATGTGGGCAGAGCATATGATCTGTGTGGGAGGGAGAATCCGTGGTCTCCCTCCTCCGGCACCCCAGCCATTCCCCCTTCCTTTCCCCAGCCCCACCCCGCACCCACTGATTCTGGCTTTAGGGAAGCATGGGGTGGGGCCCAGTGCCTTCCAGTCTTCAGGTCCCGAATAACAAAGTCAGGATTCACATCCCTGTTGGTGACCTGCCCCCTTATCTCCTGTTCAGACTCAGATCTCTTCCAGACAAAGGCAGTTCTCCCCCCACCCCCCATGCTCCCGTCCCGCCCCCAGGATCTGCTTTGGGTATGGATTTGCGTTTTCATTCTCAAGCACCCAAGGCTCATCTTAGAAAAACTCTTTTGGATGGAGGAGGCACAGCAGTCTTGAAGCGCTTGTGGAAATGTGGTCTCTGCATTTTAAGCCAAAAAAAGAAACATAAAAAGTAGTGAGAGAAGCCATAGTGGCTACATTTCCTGAAGAAAAAAATAACTTATTATTTAAAAAAAAAAAAAGATCTATTTATTTGGAAGGCAGCAATGGGCCCAACACAATAGCTCAATTGGCTAATCCTCTCTTTTTGCAAAGTGCCAGGATCCCATATGGGTACCAGTTCATGTCCTGGCTGCTCCACTTCCCATCCAATTCCCTGCTTGGGGCCTGGGAAAGCAGCCAAGGACAGCTTGACTGCACCCACGTTGAGAAACCTGGAAGAAGCTTCTGGCTCCTGGCTTCAGATTGTCTCAGCTCTGGTCATTGCAGCCACTTGGGGAATGAACCAGTGAACTTTCTGTTTTTGTTTTTCTTTCTCTCTGTATCTGCCTTTCCAATAAAAGAAATACATCTTTAAAAAGAAAGAAAATCGGAGATCTTCCGGGGCCCGGCACGATAGCATTGTGGTTAAGGTCCTCGCCTTGCATGCGCCAGGATGCCATACGGGCGCTGGTTCTAATCCCAGCAGCTCCACTTCCTACCTAGCTCCCTGCTTGTGGCCTGGGAAAGCAGTCAATGACTGCCCAATGCCTTAGGACCCAGCATCCACGTGGGAGACCCAAGGAAGAGCTCCTGGCTCCTGGCTTCGGATCAGCTCAGCTCTGGCCGTTGTGGCCGACTGGGGAGTGAACCATCAGGTAGAAGATCTTTCTCTCTGTCTCTCCTCCTTTCTGTGTATCTGCCTTTCCAATAAAAATAAATCTTAAAAAAAGTTAAAAAACAAAACAAACAAATAAAAAAAGGCGATCCTCCATCTGCTGGTTCACACCTCACATAGCCACAACAGCTGGGAGTTAGCTAAGCAGAATTCAGAAGCCAGAAATGCCATCCGAGTCCGGACAGCAGGGCCATCTTCCGCTGCCTTCCCAGAAGCATTAGCAGGGAGCTGACTCTGAAGTGGTGTCACTGGGAATTGAACCAGCACTCTGATAAGGGAATGTGGGCATCACATGCAACTGCTTAGCTTGCTATGCTGCAGCACTAGCCCCTTTTGAACATTAGAAAAAAAAAAAAAAAAGATTTATTTATTTGAAAGGCAGAACAACAGATAGAAAAAGTAAGCTCGTGCTTCTCTCTGCTGGTTTATTCCCAGATGCCCTCGGCAGCTGGGCCTGGGCTGGCTGGCAGCAGTAGCCAGGAACTCCCTTCTGGTCTCCCATTGGGTGGCAGGGCCGTCGTATGCTGCCTTCCCAGGCACCTCAGCAGGAAGCTGGATGAGAAGCAGGGAGCAGCTGGGACTCCAGCCAGGCCCTCTACTGTGGGATGGAGGTGTGGCAAGAAGCATCTTCATCACTCTACCAAATGCCACAGGCTCTTATAATTACCTTTCTTAGGGTGGAAGCCCAAGTCATTACTTTTAATGAGCAAATAAGTTTACATTAATTTGAATGTACGCAGTTATTGCTTAGAGAGCTGTGTCCCAGGCTTGTGCAATCCCAGAGCCAGGAGGTGAGGAATAGAAAACAGATATGACAGCCAGGTCAGAGTCTAGTAAAGACCCTGGCCTAGGGTCACAGATCTGATGTCCTCATGCCACTCACCAGCTGTGTGACCTTGGACTTGAACTCTGAGCCCCCTTTCTTTGTCTGCATCACGGGACCAGGGATAAGTGCCCTAACTAGGCTCCTGCTGATGATGCAGTGAGTGAAGGTGAAAGGCCCTGGCCCCTGGATGTCCTCCCCAGACCAGCGTGACAAGATGTGTGTTGCTAGGATGCGTGTAGCAATAACACCTTCTTCTCTCTACAGATCTGGAACCAACATGTACACTCCCACCCCCCAGAGGTAAGCTCAGTGTCCTGCCTCCTCTCCTCCCTCCAGCCTGCTTCACTCCCAAGCTCTGTCCCCAGGCCTAGCCCCCCATGGGCCCTGCGACCACCAACCCTCTCCCTTGCCGTCGCCAGCTCTCCATTTCCGGCCTCGGTGCAGGATCCGGGCCTGCACATTTGGCGGGTGGAGAAGCTGAAGCCGGTGCCTGTGGCGCGGGAGAATCAGGGTGTCTTCTTCTCTGGGGACTCCTACCTGGTGCTGCACAATGGCCCGGAAGAAGTTTCCCACCTGCACCTGTGGATCGGTAAGCAGGTGGAGGGCTGGGGTGAGCGGGAGGGGCTGGAGCCGCCGTGGGTCTCCCGGGACTGGCCCTGCCACTTCCACCTGTCCCAGGCCAGCAGTCATCTCGGGACGAGCAGGGTGCCTGTGCCGTGCTGGCTGTGCATCTCAACACCCAGCTTGGGGAGCGGCCCGTGCAGCACCGTGAGGTGCAGGGCAATGAGTCCGACCTCTTCATGAGCTACTTCCCACGCGGCCTCAAATACCAGGTCAGAGCCTGCCTCCTGGCATCCCCTTCCTCTTGCCCCACTCTGACTGGTTTCTGCCCCCTCAAGACCCAGTTGTCCCGGGGTCCCCAGGCTGGCATGGGGGTCCCTGACAGTTTACTCAGACGAGCTGTCTGTGCTGCAGGAAGGAGGTGTGGAATCAGCTTTCCACAGGACCTCCCTGGGGGCCGCCCCGGCTGCCATCAGGAAACTGTACCAGGTGAAGGGCAAGAAGAACATCCGAGCCACCGAGCGGCCACTTGCCTGGGACAGCTTCAACACCGGTGACTGCTTCATCCTCGACCTGGGCCAGGTAGGCAAGCCAGGCCGCACTGAGAGCTGTGTGTCACCACTGTCCTTTAACAGGCTGGGAGAGATGCAGAAAAGCTGATGCCCTGCACGCTCCTCCCTGGGTGGTGGGTTCCAAAATTACTCCCCACCCAAGTCCTTTATACAAGGTGCCATAATGCTTGCATACCTCCAGTCTTCTTGCATACTTCAAGCCTTCCCCAAAAGGCATCTTTTTTAAAGAAAAAATACTTACTTGAAATGCAGAATTACAGAGAGAAAGGGAGGGGGAGAGAGAGATCACGTGTTAGTGTACTTCCCAGATGGCTGCACTAGCTAGGACTGGGCCAGACCAAAGCCAGGTGCCTGGATCCTTATCTAGGACTCTCTCATGGGTATAGTGGCTTAAATACTTGGACCATCACGTGCTGCTTTCTTAGGCACATTAGCAGGGAGCAGGATGGGAAATGAAGCAGCTAAGACTTGACCCAGCACCTATAGGGGACACCCACGTTCCAGCTGACAGCTTAACTCACTATGAGGTAGACTTGGCCTCCCTAGATGGGTTCCAATTTCTAACATAGTGTAGATGTGATGGAAATAGCTGCTCTACTGTAGTATTTAGGGAATAACGACAAGGAAAGGAAACCTATGCATGGTTAGTGCAAACTGAATTCTTTTTCTGAAGGTTTCTGGTCTGTGGTTGTTGGATCCACAGGTGTGGAATTACAACCATGTGTCAGGACATGAGCTGGCCTTGCTGAGGCCTCGCCTGGCCTTGACACCTCTGGAGCTCACTTCCTGTTTCTCAAAGCTTCTGGGAAGTCATTGTGGCTGTGAGTGAGTTGCCTGCCTGCTAGACCATCATTCATTCGTTTGTTCATTCCACTTATTTGTTCATTCAGTACGTCTATGATGGCCTTGCTGAGGCAGCGTTAGGACCACCGTAGTTAGCCCTGGGCCGGCCACTGAGGGGGTACAAGGGCCTGAAGGAGATGGCAGCCACTTGTTGGGAAGCTGGGTGCAGGGAGGGGGGCCCTCTTGCCTGAGCTGAAGCCAGTTGGCTATTGGATCAGGTGGGCTGTGGCACAGTGGTGGGGAAGATTATGGGTAACAGGGAGGAGTCCATGTTGACTGGGGACCTGAGCCAGGGGCAGTGGCCATGAAAATGGCTGGGGAAGCTGGGACTGGGTCAGGGGGACATTCACTTTCTGTCTACGGGAGGTTATAGGCTGATTGTTGGGGGGTGGGAAGGTCAACCCAGAAGGAAGGGAAGTGGGGACCAGGAGCACACCTCGTATTGCCTTCAGGAGAGGAGAGAGGGCTCTACTTGCATGGCATTTGTTCACTCATTCATTCATTCAGTCATTCATTCAAGAAACATTCACTTTGTGCCCGAATAAAGCAGAACAAAACATTCAGACCCCAAGTCAGCCTATGTTTCAACTACTGGATCAGTAAGCTCTATGCAACATAGGGGGACATACAGGGTAATATTTCAATACACAGCAATGAGTGAGGTGGAGAAAAATCAAAGAGGAGGAGAGATAAGAGCAGGCAATGCTGTCATGGCCATTCCTTGAGCCACCTCTGTGAGAGGGGCACTGAGTGGTAAGCCACTGGCTTTGACCACTCACACCCATCCCCTGCCTTGCCCCACCTTCTGCAGAACATCTTTGCCTGGTGTGGTGGCAAGTCCAACATCCTGGAGCGCAACAAGGCCAGAGACTTGGCCCTGGCCATCCGGGACAGCGAGCGGCAGGGCAAGGCCCAGGTGGAAATCGTTACCGATGGAGAGGAGCCTGCGGAGATGATCCAGGTTTGCGGGGTGCAAGGTTGGGTGGCCTGGTGGGACCCTCTGCCTGGAAGTGGCTGGGAGAGGGGTAGAGGTGAGCATGGCAGGGGTCCCTGGGTGCCTTTATGTGTGACTGAGGACAAGGTGCCCCTCTGATTGGAAGAGCAACCTGGCTGGACCCAGGCCCAACTCCCCTCTGCCCAGTACCCTAGTGAAGGACACCCCAGTGAGGCAGGAGCCCTAGGCCTGGTGGCTTGGGAGGTTTGGCAGCAAGAATGCCTGTGAACTTCAATGACCCTGACCCCGCAGGTGCTGGGACCCAAGCCACCTCTGAAGGAGGGCAACCCCGAGGAAGACCTCACAGCTGACCAGACCAATGCCCAGGCCTCAGCTCTGTATAAGGTGGGTGCTCCGGGCCAGCCGAGGGCAAGGTAGGGGTGGGAACACACACAGCAGGTGTGCGTGTGGGGCTGCAGAGAGGAGAGGCTGCAGGAAGGGCGAGGTTTGTGCTCAGCTTGGAGCCAGTTTTTGGTGAGTGATGGAAAGTAAAGCTGAGCTGTCCTTAAAGATGTATTTATTTGTTTGAACAACAGAGAGAGACAGAGAGAGAGACAGAGAGAGAGGAGAGAGATTTGCTGGTTTACTCCCCACAGGGTCTCAACAGCGGAGGCTTGGAACTTATCTAGTCTCTCACATGGGTGCAATAGCCCAACACCTGAGCCATCCTCCGCTGCTTTCCCAGGCGCATTAGCAGGGAGGTGCATCAGAACTGGAGCAGCTGGACCTTGAACCTGGGCTCCCAGGGGATTCTAGCTTTCCAGGTGGCAGTTTAACCACCACCTTCCAACCTGTGCCACAAGTTTCCTTCTTTGAATTCCGCATATATGTCTGTAATTTGGGCCTCTTTTCCTGATGGGTTCAGGGCACTAGCTATAAGTGGTTGTGGGTGACGGAAGCAGCCAGAAATTGCTGTGATTGGCAATTCAAGGTCTGGAGCAGTGACTGTGGGGGGTGGGGCAGAGGGTAGGGATGCAGAGCAGGGAGGGAGAGCTGGGCAGGGCTGAGGTGTCAGGGATGAAGATGAGATCGAGGCACTGCCCTTGCTCCCCAGGTCTCCGATGCTACTGGACAAATGAACCTGACCAAGGTGGCAGATTCCAGCCCCTTTGCGCCCGAGCTGCTGGTAGCAGATGATTGCTTCGTGCTAGACAATGGGCTGTGCGGCAAGATCTACATCTGGAAAGGTGTGGTGTCTCCTGGCAGCTAGCATGCGCATCCGTGTGTGTGTGTGTGTGTGTGTGTGTGTGTGTGTGTGTGTGTGTGTGTGTGTACACGCGTGCCTCCCAGTAGCCACCATATTGGGAAGCCAGACTTGTCTTATTGCAGTGCCTCTGGCTGCTCCCTTAGTTGATTGCAAAAGAGCCTCAGTTGCTCCTGGTTGCAGTTTCTCATAGCCCCTTCTCGCTCCCTTAAGGTCAGGGCAGCGGTTCCCGGACCTCAGTTCCACCCCGGGCTTGTTCCAGCAGGTTGCCAAGGCGCCTGCCTGGAAATTCTGATTCACTAGGCCTGAGGGGGCGCCCATGAAGTGTGGCTGTCACCCAGCAGTGCTTTCGCTGCTGAATCCAGTGGCCACACTTTGAGAGCCATTGTCCTGGCCCACTCCTGGTCCTTCAGGGTCACTGGGAACCCCCGAACCTAGCATTTAGCCTTGAATTGCATTCAGGGATAAATTTTAGACTTTATGCTGTGTGGGGGTGAGGTGGGGAGGGGTGAACTTGCAGAACTTGATTTTCCAAGAGATTATGTCAGCTGTTGTAGCTGCCCTGGGGAGAAACTACCGCGTGGTTTGCTGATTCCATCAGGTGGAGCAACATCCGGAGCCTCCACATGACCCTGGCGGGAGTGGGGCAGGGGAGCACTGTTCCACACTGTCTCATCTTGAGCTTGTCTTTTTGAAAGCAAGAATCCTTTTCATCTGAGGGTCTTGACTACATAGTATTAGAAACAGTTACGTCATCAACCAAAGCCTGCCCCCCTCCCATCTGGTCAGGAAGAAAGAGAGGAGTTAGGGACCAGGAATAGCTGCTATTGGGCAGTTCCTACTGCTGTCTCAATTCAGCAGAGACAGGAAGAAGGCAGGGCTAGGGAGCAGCCAGCGGCTGGGCTGGTTAGTGAGGGTTAAGGAGTGGAGGGGAGACAGGTGCTGTTGGGATGCCTGTTTCCGCAGAGGGCCAACACCCCATCAAACCAATGCCAGGCACAGGAGGGGTCCCAGGGAAACAAGGAACTGGACTGTTAACCGAAAGAGAAGCCAGAGGGGACCTGTTGGAGTCAGCAGTTAGGAGTCTGACTGGTCAGCTCACGGCGGGGCATGGCTTAGAATTTCAGACCTGAGGACATTAGCTGTTAGGCCACGCCGCCCACCCCCTTCCCCAAAAAATAATCTTTTAAAAATCTATCTATTTGAAAGGCAAAGTGACAAAGAGTGGGAGAGAAACAGAGAGAATTGATCCACTGTCTCCTGGTTGACTCCTCAAATGGTGGCTACATCCAGGGCTGGCCAGGCCAGAGGCAGCACTCAGGAGCTCCATTTGGGTCTCCCACACAGGGAGCAGGTGCCCGGATACTTTTGGTTATCACCTGCTGCCTTCCTAGGCAAGCAGGAAGTAGGATTTGAACTGGCACTTCATTATGAGGTGTAAACAGCTTTAGCTGGCTGTGCCACAATACTGTCCTTTGGTCTTTGTTTTTGTAAGCATATCCTGAGTGCCAGCATTGAGTTGACATGGGCTTACTGGCCTTGTGGGAGCCAGTTCATTCATAATAAATTGCACCCTTTGTCCTGTTAATTTTTGCAGAAGAGGCTTGATAACAACATAGATACTGGAGGCAAGAGGCAAGGGGTGCTGATGGGGGGGTGGGGGAACCTGGCCTTGTGCTAGGATGCCAGCGGGAAAGCCCTTGGTCCTCCTTGAGGTGTCCTTGACATCTGGTGATGAGCTTGGAGCTGCAGGTTTGGCAGAAAAGGGGTGGGCCTCACACCCCTTGGAGCCCCTCAGCACTCTTGGGACTTTTCCTGATACTGGAGTGGGAGCTAAAGAAGGCCCCCACTCTTACAGAAGCCCCTTTTCTGCCCCTTGTGACCCAGGAAGGAAAGCCAACGAGAAGGAGCGGCAGGCGGCCCTGCAGGTGGCCGAGGGCTTCATCTCCCGCATGCAGTATGCGCCTAACACTCAGGTGAGTCGCCGCCTTGGCTCCCACATTGGTAGACCGAACACGCAGGACAGCTGGGTGTAGTCAGACCTCCCTCTCCAACACAGCCACTGCTCAGAAAGCCTTCTCAGTCTTTGAGGTTTGTAAGAGAATGTTGGGCTGCAAGGCAACTGGGCATGTGTTTGGGCAGCTTGGGCTGTTGGCTTTGGCAGGTGCCACCTGGTTAAGGTGGTGGGGCCTCAAGTCCTTCCTGGGAGAGCTGGGGCATGCTTCTCTGCAACTGGGGGGCATGTCAGACAGTGCTTGCAGTTTTTAAGCAATGTTTTCTTCTCAGCTGTGTTTTCCTCCCCCCTGCTGATTATTTGTTTGAAAGGCAGAGTCTATGGCCATACCACCCTGAACATGCCCGATCTTGTCTGAAGGGCAGAGAAGTGTGGAAAGAGAGAGGTCATTGGTTTGCTGGTTCACTCCCCAAATATCAGCACTATCAGCTGGGCCAGGCTGCAGCCAGGAGCCTGGGACTCCATTCAGAGCCCCCATGTGGTGGGCCATCCTCTGCTGCTTTCCCAGGTGCATTAGCAGGGACCTGGATGGGAAGTGTAACAACCAGGACTTGAACCAGCATAATATGGATTGCCAGTGATGCAAACAGTGACTTAGCCCTGTGCTTCATCACAGGCCCCTGTGCTCTTGTCCCTTGACTTACGTGGAGGCACATCCTGGGCCTGGTGCCCACACCCTCCTGCACTGTCCTGGCTGAGGCAAAGGTGACAGCTTGCAAGCCCAACTTGTCTCCCACTGTCCCTGCAGGTGGAGATTCTGCCCCAGGGCCGTGAGAGCCCCATCTTCAAGCAATTCTTCAAGGACTGGAAATGAAAGGCCCTCTGTTCTCTTCTGCTCTGGCTGCACAGTCAGTACCAGAGTGCCTCCTCTCTCCTCCCCGCAGCAGATGTTCAATAAAGCAAGCAAGAGCTTTCCTGGGCCTTCCCGCACTGTCTGCCCTGGGGCCAAGGACACAAACGTCACAGCCTCCACGCTACCAGCACTGGCTTTGTGTGGTTGAGACAGAGCAGCCGGGAGTCCCAGCAGGGCTGTCCTGATGAAGCCTAGGAGGGGTGTGGTGTCAGGCCTCAACGTCACTTCCAGCCAAGAGCTCAGATCTGCTTACTCTCACTTTCCCCACCAAGGGCTCCTGTGGCAGTGGGCTTGGTATGCACCCCTGCCCCAGCAGTCCTGCCTCAGCTGCCTCCACAACCAGGGAGAAGTGGAAGCTTCCAACAATGGCCACTCACAGAGTTCAGCTGCCCTGAAACCTGGCTGTTCCTCTCTAGGCAGGCTGATGGGCCTGGGGCCACTGTGCAGCCATGTGGCAAGTGCTGTGCTGGCCTGTGCATGAGCCCTGGGTCTGCTCCCTGCTCTGCCCCTGCTTGATCCTGGCCAGGTTGCTGTTCCCGATCTATACCTTAGGCCAGACTCTCCTGTATAATGGGGTGCTGCTGGGAACATCAGAGGCCAGAAACCTAGATGGTGGTGGGGTAGGGAAAGGCAAACAAAAGGTCCCATCTTGTCCTGGAGGGCGTGACCCAGGGAGCCATGAGCCAATGTGAACATGCACCAGAGGCCACAGGGCCTGGTGGAGCTGCAGCTGGCTGCACAGTCCCGCGTCCTAAGGGCTATGCGCCTTCAGACCTGACATGCTGGATTCCTCCATCTGCAAGCAGAACAGCAAGGCTGGTCAAGGTCATCTTCCTAACTTTATGCCAAGAATCCTAGTAAAAATGGCTTCTCTGTGTGTCCCCATCCTCTGCATGGACGTCCTGGCCCTCACCAAACAGTCTTTGGGAAGAGTAAGTGCCAGGGATGATTTTGGGTTTTGTTTTGAAGATTTATTTAATTATTTGAAAGGCAGAGTGACAGAGTATGAGGGAGAGAGAAGGAAAAAGAAAGAAAAAGGGACAGCGTGAGGATCTTCCATCTGCTTGGCTCACTCTCCAGAGGGCCACACCAGCCAGGAAGCGAGAAGCCAGGGACTCCATCCTGGTCTCCCACGGGGGTGACAGGAACACAAGCACTTGGGCCATCCTCCACTGCATTCCTAGGTGCATTAGCAGGGAGCTAACAGAAGTGGAGCAGCCAGGACTTGAGATGGCACCCCAATGTGGGATGCTGGCACTGCAACCAGCAGCTGGACCTGTGTGGTACCAGGCTGGTCCTGGGGAGTAAGTGTTGCCTTCAGTGGCTCTGACAATATTTTTAAATTTATGGAGTATCGTAACTCTGCCATGAAGGACCTAGGCTCTTCGTTAAGAAAAATGCGCGGACTGAGATTTTTGAATGTGCTTTTCAGAGGGTCCACACATCCTGAAAAACCAGTCTGTCGGTGAGGACAGCTGCAACTTACAAAACTCCCAGACTGCATTGCTGATGTCCTGAAATCTGAATCCATGAACTCAGTCTGAAGAAAAGACCCAGAGAGGGGATTGCCTGCTCCACCCTTGCTAGGGGCCCACAGACAGGCAGCCCCGGATGTACCGGGGGCTTTGTATTCACAGTTGTGCCAGCTGAGCTGGCCTAACAGGCTCAGCAATCAAAGAGGGTTTTGGGGGGAAGGCAATCCCCAGACCTGACCCTCCCTCCAGAGCAGAGGCTGAGCTGCCTCCAGGCACCTGCTGGCCCACCCTGGCCACCTCACGGTCAGCTGATGTCCAGGCTGAAGGAAGGATTAGGAACAAAGGATTAGCTCAGGCTGGGCAAAGGTGGCATGAGGCTCCCGCCAGTCCATGCCCGAGGTGCCTGATGGCAGCAGCAGGTGCGGGACGTTCCTCTCTGCACTTGGGTAGCCATCTGCGGTCCCTGCCCATCATGTGTCCCAGTTCCCCCGGGCAGACATGGGGAGCCCTGCAGGGGCAAGATGACAGTCTCCTGTAGCTCCATTTGAGGGGGACAGACGACAGAGGTGGCACTGCTGGCCTGGAGAGAAAGCCCCGTGGTATACCTTATACCGTGGCCACAGCCAGGGCCTCCCCCAAATCTGCCAGCTGGGGTGTGCTGCAAAGCTGGGGCCTGCGAGAGCAGGGAAGCGGGGGGGTGGGGGGGGAGTGTCACATGAACATAGCAGGAGCTTGCACACCACATAGGTGACTTCTCTTGCTGGACATGTGACTGGGCCTCACCCACAGCGTGCCTGGCTCTGTCTGGGACCCTGGGAAGCACAGGCTTGTCTTAAAAGGAAACACTTCAGGCCCTTAAATGAGAACAGTTCTTTTACTGGGAAAGTGCTGGTGTGAAGATTTCCTCCTTCCTTCCACCCTTATAGACATGTGCAGCCTCCACACGAGGAAGCCTCAGCTTGGGACTGCTAGGATAGAACTGCCCCAGCACTGAAGCCCCTTTCTGGATGGTGAGCCCTGGAGGGCAGGGGCTGAGAGAGCAGGGTGGGACAAGTGTTAGGTGCCAAGGCCCAGAGGGGCCCTGATGTTGACCTGGCCTGGGGACTGGAGGAAAGCAAGGTCCATATGTGGAGCACAACAGCTTATCCTGGCTTATGCTGCCCCCTGCTTGTTGTTGCCACTGCCGTCGTCCCCATTTCAAATTCTACTTTAAGCCATGTGCTCTCTCTTGGTAATCTGCCCTGTCCAGGGATCCATTCACTACCTGCTCTGACACCTGGAACCCAGCCCTAGAGGCAGGTCAGGTCTGCTGGGAGCGGGGATACATCTAGCTGCCCCATGTCTCCTGCCGGCTTGGGAGCTTCCTACACCTGCCTGCTTGGCTAGGGTGCTGTGGACATGGCCTGCCATGTACCACTAGGAGAGCCCCGGTGGCCCAGCCTCAAAGTCTTTCGAGTGCTCGGTTGGGGCAGAGGCAGGCTCAGATCAGCCCGGATCCTTCGGTGGAATGAGGCTGCAGGTCACACACACCCGTGAAGGTGAGGTCCTTGGAGTGAGGGCTAGGCGGCCCAGGGCACTTCTGGGCCCCCAACAAGGAGGCCTGGCCCTTTGCCACTCCTGCCAGGTAGACATCCAGGGTCTTGAGCAGTCGTCGGGGGCTCTTCTTGGCCAACATTTCCAAGTCTGGAGTGGAGAGGATTCGGGAACAGAGGCAGGGGGCACTTAGGATGGCGTGGGACGCGGATCTCTGACCCAGCCACTCCAGGGAGCACCCTGACCCTCAGGCCAATGGCAAACAAGCCTCCCAAAACAGAGGCCACTGGAGGATGGGGCAGACCACCCAGGAACCCCACACTGCACTCTAAGAAAACTGCCACTTTGAATTGTCATTGTCCCGCTGGAGCCTACCTCCAGGGTCTAGATTCACATCATGTGATCACCTCACCCCCATCACAGGGGAAGGAAGGAGGGCGGGGGCGTACAAGGGACAGGTGCTCCAGAGGGGCCTGACAGGTGGGAGTGGGGAACCACAGCTCCAGACAGCAGCCGCCCCAGGGTGTCCAGTGTGCCCAGAAGGGCGAACTCACCTTTAAGGACGAAGCCTGAGTCCGAGATGGTCTTCCGCTGCGTCCTCCAGACGTGGGCAAGACGGAGGAAAGTGGCCGCATAGAAGCTATTCACCACTGGGATGACCTTCTGCTGTCGGTTACACTCCCTGAGGACAGGGAGGCACCTGCTCAGCTCCTACCACGAGAGCCAGCCCCAGCCTGGGACTCCCCCACTGCTGGGGGCAGGGCAGATGAGTGGGATAGGGGTGGGCTTTACCCAGGCCCTGCCGGGACCCTGCTGCTTACCTAGAGAGACACTCCTCTCTCAGGGCCTGGATAGCGATGCGGGTGATATTCACTGACATTAGACAGAAGGGGAATTGCTGCAATGGAAGGGGCAGTGGTCAGGGACAACCGTTACTGCGTGCCCACGGGCAAGCACAGCCCCAGAGGCAGTACCGCTATTGCTACTCACACTGTTTTCCCAATCATCTTCCAAAAGTGGAACCTAAGGCTTGTGACCCTATGTAACCTCTGTAAGGTGTGGGACCAGGGATCCGCCTAAGGTTATTTACTCCAAAGTGGGTGTGCAGGACCCCTGTGTGTGAAGCCCCCAGCCTCAGCATCTCTTCTCCTCAGCTCTCCTGGGCCTGCACCTGCTGTGTGGCCTGCCCCAGGACCAGGCTAGCTCTTGGCAGTGAGGTGAACACTGGAGGAGTGAGGCTGGTTCTGTCACTCTGATGTCCTTGGAACCTTCCCGTAGTTCTCCAGGATGCTGGGGATCTGGCTGCTCCAGAGCACCACATGCAGGAGCAGACAAAGCTGCCAGAGGGTGGACAGCTCTGCCTCTTCATGGCCTGTAGCCTGGGAGAATGCAGCACGGGCTCCGGAGGGGGCATGTCACAGGATGGCCTCAGCAACCTGAGGTCCATCTTGCTGCTTTTTTTTTTTTAAGATTTTATTTATTTTTATTGCAAAGTTAGATATACAGAGAGGAGGAGAGACAGACAAGAAGATCTTCCATCCGATGATTCACTCCCCAAGTGACTGCAATAGCCAGTGCTGTGCTGATCCGAAGCCAGGAGCCAGGAACCTCCTCTAGGTCTCCCACACAGCTGCAGGAACTCAAGGTTTTGGGCTATCCTCAACTGCTCTCCCATCCAGCTCCCTGCTTGTGGCCTGGGAAAGCAGTTGAGGATGGCCCAAAGCTTTGGCACCCTGCACCTGTGTGGGAGACCCGGGGGAAGCTCCTGGCTTCGGCTCAGCTTAGTTCTCTCATTGTAGTCATTTGGGGAGTGAACCAGTGAATGGAAGAGCTTTCTCTCTGTACTTCCTTCTCTCTGTATATCTGGCTTTCCAACAAATATATATATATATATATATATATATATATATATATATATATATAAAGAAGTAGAGCAGTCAGGATTCTAACCAGCACCCACATGAGATATGCTGGCATTGTAGGCAATAGCTTAACCTAGTGCACCACAACACTGGCCAGAATAAATAAATCTTAACCACAACAACAAAACCCCACAGATTTTGTAATCGCATCTGTAATGTTGAGATCATGAAGCCTTTGGAGGACTTGGAATCTGCATTTCTGATGACCTCTCAGGTGGTACTGATGCTGCTGGTCTGGGGATGGCACATTTACAGCCACTGGTCTATGAGCTGATATACTTGCCCAGAATTTCCTCCCTATTTCATCCTCATAGATCTTATTGCTTACCCATTGGAAGACTGACAGACCCCCTGAAATCTCAGAACCGAGTCCCCCGAGCTGCCCGTCTCCATTGGTGGCAGCTCCGTCTAACCCGTGGCTCAGACTGAACAGACTACTGCTTGCCTTTGTCTTCACCCCATAGTCAAGCCATCCAAAACACAAGCTAGCTCTGTGCTCTCAGGAGCTATACACAGAGCTATACCCCAGCCTATACACACACCCACACATCCTCACCAGAAACTGTTCTCAACCTAGCAGCTGCTAAAATCCATTAGGAAATGTGAAGCTGGGGGCTGGCAGTATGGCAGAGAGGGCTGAGACAACACCCGTGACGTGGGCATCTCATGCTGGCTAACCCATTTCCAATCTGATCCCCTGCTAACACACCTGGAAAAGCAGTGTAAGATGGCCCAAGTGTTGGGTGTCTGCACCCCTGAGGGAGACCCAGATGAAACTCCTGGCTTTAGCCTGGCCTAGGCCTGGCCACTGTGGTCATTTGGGGAATATTCCAGTGGAATATACTGCCTTTCTATCAATCTGCCTTTCAAATAAATAAATTATATCTTTGAAAAGGCTTTTGCCTTGTTGTCCCTGCTGGAGGGATCTTTGTTTTGTTTACTGATCTATAACTGGCTCTAGAAAAACAAGAGTACGGAGGACACCAAACAGATCTTTGTTCAGGGTCCCGTGAATCTGGGATAGGCAAGTGGAAGGAAACAGGCCAAATCTGCTTTCTAAAGTTGGGGGGAATCACCCCTTTCACCTCTTAGGAAAAACATCAGAACCAATGCCAGAAGGCAGGTCTGGACAAGGACCAAGAGGCTCCCTTTCCATGGAGGGTCAGGGTTTCCTCAGGCAGAGAGCTGAAATAATGACATCACTGTTGGCCCATAATTGTTGGACACTGTCTCGTCTCATTTCCCAGGGAGCCAGCTGAGGGTTTTGAGGCTTGCCCTGCGGCTGAGGAACCCAAGGCTCTGCGGAGAGGAGGAACTTGCTGGCCATCCACAGTTTGTGAGTGGGCGAGCATGGAGTCCCACACAGCTGAGCCTGGCCAGAAGGTCCACTCCCGGCTCTCTGCTGTCCTGAGAGCCCTCGGCAATTGAGGAGGTCCACGTGGCTGCTCTCCTACCCAAGCCCACCTGGATATGGTGACGAGACAGGCGGAAGATCTCCTGTGCCATCAGCCAGGTCTTTGAGTCCATCACCAGATACAACAGGTGCAGGAGGGCAAGGAAGCCTGCCCCCCTCAGGTCTGTGGCTGGATTCGCTCCTGCCAAAGAATCCACAGGACATGGGATGTGATGGTGAGCAATGCTTAGTGAACTTCTACTCCCCTGACCTTCAAGGGCTTTGTCTGGAAAGCTGCCCTGACAGTGGATGCTCTCCCGACCCAAAGGCCTGAAGGAGCTCAGGTCCACTTCCTGCCCCGGGTCTGTGGTCACCCAGGACCCTGGGGGCGGCCTCCTGCCATTTTCCTGCTGTTCTGCGTGACCCTCCACAACAACTGGGCAGATCCTTAGCAAGGCAAAACTGAACTGCTGGCTCTGGGCTGAGATGATGAGCACAGTTCTCCCTGTTCCTCCTGCCACCACCAGCCCTGGACACTACTACAGGAATCAGGAGTCTTTCAGAAGACTCTGAAGACCTGCAGAGAGGAAGGCAGACTGGCTGGGGACCTTGAGAGTGGAGAAGTGACACTGTGGTTACTCTCCTGGTCTCTGCTTAACATATTCTGACTGTGTCAGTGAAGGAATGTCAACAGGAGCAGGCTATGATTAGAATGTGCTGTGCTGGAAACATAAACCCCAAAACCCTATGTTTTGGCGTGTGGAGAGGGGCCTTAGGCAGGTAACTGGGAGTAGATAAAGGCACCAAGGTGGGGCCTCCTGGCAGGCCTCGTGAAGAGGAAGGGCGACCAGAGCTGACACACTTGCAGTCTCACCACGTGACACTTGTGGCCAGGCTATGACGCAGGATGAGCCCTCGCCAGAGGCCAGCATCACACTCTTGGGCTTTCCAGCCTCTCAAACTGCAAGCTTGAGATTCTTTAAAAACTACTGAGTGTTGGGCCTGGTGCAATAGCCCAGTGACTAAATCTTTACCTTGCATGCACTGGGATACTATATGCATGCTACTTTATGTCCTGGCTGTTCTACTTCCCATCCAGCTCCTTGCTTGTGGCCTGGAAAAGCAGCTGAGGATGGCTCAAGGCCTTGGGACCCTGTACCCATGTGGGAGACCCAAAAGAAGCTCTGGGCTCCTGGCTTCGGATAGGCATAATTCTGGCCAATGTGGCCACTTGGGAAGTGAATCAGCAGATGGAAGATCTTCCTCTCTGTATATCTGACTTTCCAATAAAAATAAGTATATCTTTTTTTACAAATTGACCAGGGGAATCTGCTCACAGATAACAAAGTGGCTCTCTGGCCTGAGCTCCCCCTCCACTGCCCTTTATCCTCATGCTAACTTGAGAATCTGAGATGGTCTTCATCTTGAACCAAGCCACCAACCTTGTCTCTCTGATACTGGCTTTCAAACAACAAGTAGTCAGTTTTTTTATTCTGATTGCAGCATAAGTCAAAAATGGGTCAAATCATTTATCTCAAAATAATAATAATAATAGTAATAAAATGTTCACCACTATTAAATTAAAAAGGGCAGGAAGAAAAAAACCACCAAACAAGCCAGATTCTAAATTTTGTCATTCCTAGGTTAACATGTCACTACAGTAAATGCTTTACAATGGCCTGCAGGGCCCCAGAGAGAGCTTAGGGCCTTCCACTCTGGTCTCCCTCTGCTGCACTTATTAATCTCTGAAGGGCAAGCTTGCTGCAGCTCAGTGCCTCTGTATGTGCTGCGCCCTGCAGTGGGCCTCCGCTCTGCTGGGTCACAGAGCCAGATTGACAGGAAGGGTGCACTGGTCTCTCACGCCACGCAGAGGAGCTGAACCACTCCTCCCTCTTACCCTGGAAGCCCAGGTCCTCCCAGTGGTCTCCGAGCAAGGCACAATCAAACTTGGAGCCGGTCAGCTTCTTGTAGATGGTCTGGAGGACTCGGCCATGCATTGGGTCTTGGCTATCCAGGCCACCTGCCCCAAAACATACCCACAATCCACTAGCGTTTCCATCATGAAAGACAAGGTGCCTCTCAGAGAATGGTTCATGTGAACTGGGTGCATGACATGTCCCAGCTTCCCTTCCTCCCACTGCCTGGGATGTGCAAGGGCTCTGGCTTTGCCTTAGGTAGGGGCTGGCCCGACAGTATTCCCTGCCTGACCACACGGGCAGCGCCCATGGCAGCTCCAGAATACTCACACTGAGCAATGGTCAGAACCAAGTCCCTTTCTTCCCGAAGGCCCTGGTGGAGCTTTGGAGGCCCAAAGAGGCAGTGCCGGAGGGCGGCGAGCCCGGTCCTTCGAACAGTTGGCTGGATTCTTTTCTGTGGAGGAAGGTGGGAAGTTCATTTAGGCAGGTGCACTCAGGTTTAGACCAGCCAGTCTCCCAGCCAGCTGCTGGTCACTGGACCAGGGAAAGGGGGCAGGGGCTGCGAAGCACAGATTAAATCTCTAGAATCAGGTGCTTCCCACCCCCAAGGCTTTTTCCCCCCAAGTTTTAATTCTATTTTTAATGTTGTTTAAGTAGTTGAGAGGATGCCCGCCCATCTAGGCCTCCAAATAGGGTAGGAAGGCTCAACACACATAGAAAGGCAGGGAGGACAAATAGTTCAGTTCATTTATTCTTTTTTTTCTTGTGTCCCCGGGGGGTGTGGGAGGGTTAAGCAAGGGGGTTGCTCCCTACAGTCAAACTACATCAGCACCCTAACACCCAGGTTCTTTGCAAGAAGAAAGACAAGGGCAGACACTGCTGGCCAGCTCCATGGGCTTCCCGGTTAGCCAGTCTGCTGACTTGTGATGGCCACAAAGGCCCAGCTTGGGCTGGATTCCCAGCACTGGCGCTTCTATCCTTTGTGTGTGTGTGTGTGTGTTTTTAAGATTTATTTATTTTTTATTACAAAGTCAGATATACAGAGAGGAGGAGAGACAGAGAGGAAGATCTTCCATCTGATGATTCCCTGCCCAAGTGACCACAACGGCCGGTGCTGTACCAACCCGGAGCCAGGAGCTAGGAACTTCCTCCAGGTCTCCCACACGGGTACAGGGTCCCAAGGCTTTGGGCCATCCTCGACTGCTTTCCCAGGCCACAAGCAGGGAGCTGGAAGGGAAGTGGAGCTGCTGGGATTAGAACCAGTGCCCATATGGGAACCCGGCACGTTCAAGGCGAGGACTTTAGCCGCTAGGCCATCGTGTTGGGCCCCACTTCTATCCCTTGTCTTTCTCTTTGTGAAGGATATACATTATACAGGCTAGCATCCCTCTTGACTTCTGTAGACAGGGTTGGAGGGGGGAGAAAAGTACAGTGGGGATTCATTATGGTGAAATTCATCTGAGCAGTAAGTATACAGAGCCTTCTGGTCACAACCAGGGCTTTCTAAACTAGGCTATGTCCATTCTCATGGTTCAGGCCCACTACTGGGGGTATTAGAATATTCTGTTGGGGCTCAGGCAGTGACATGTCAGGCTAGTCCTCTGTCTGCAGGACTACAGTTTGTGTCCCAGCTGCTCCAGTTCTGATCCAGTTCTCTGCTTGTGGTCTAGGAAAACAGTAGAGGAAGGCTCAAGTCCTTGGGCCCCTGCACCTGTGTGGAAGAACTGGAAGAAGCTTCTGACTCCCAGCTTTTGGCCCAATCCCGGCCATTTTGGGGAGTGAGCTAGCAGACAGAAGATCTCTATCTTTTCTGCTCTTTGTAACTCTTTCAAGTCAAATCTTACCAAAAAAAAAAAAAAAAAGGAAAAAGAAAGGAATGCTTTCCTGTGCAGAGTTTTGGGTGAAAGACCTGAAGTTGTGTTCCCGTAAACTTACTTCTGCACACTTACACTCTCCTCAGAAGCCATCCAGCTCCAAATATTCTTTCTTTTCCCAACTCCATCTCCTTCATAAGTTCATAAATGCTTAAGGGAATGGAAGCTTCTCCTCCATTGGCCATGAACCAGTCAGCTCCCTGGACAACTTGCTGGAAGCCACCTACTACTTGATTGCAGACCTCATGAAGGAAGGAGAGTAGGGAAACAGCACCCAGTGGGCCACAGCTACAGTCCCACAGGCTACCAAGGCCCTGCGGGAGTCCTTGGCTCTCCATGATCCCGTACCCTGCGATGTGAGCTGAATTGTGGCCCCTCCAACAAGAAGCTCCCATGTGGCAAGATGCATTGATTGGGGTAGAAACTGGCTCCTGGGAAGAGGGGGCCTTGTGTGAGACCCAAGCCTCCCTGCAGCCATACCTTGAAGGGGGAGAGGTCCGCTGTCTGGAAGTGCTGCAGAGCTTCACTGAAGGAGACGAGCTGCCCAGGCTGCTCGGGGTGGGCCTGGCTCCCTGTGGCAAAGGGAAGCACAGGATTTGTTATGGGAGCTATTCCATCAGCAACCTTCACCCAGGGTCTCCTGGCTGTCACCTCCAAGCCAGGTGCTGGTTTCCAGCGGAAGGTCAGACCCCTGCAGCCACAACCAGTCCTCTTCCAAGGAGCCGGCATCCTCTCCCAGGCTGGCTCTTTTTGGACTGGGCTGCTGAGGCTCTTGCTGGGCCATCTCTGTAGTGAGGAGTGGACAGCTCTGCCTTGCAAGGCCTCCCCACATCCCAGTCATCTGTGAGGCGGCAAGTCCCAGAGCAGGCCTGCATGCAGTAGAACTCATGTTGTTGGGGCCTTTCCTGAGCCACTTGGCCCCTCTCAAATCCTCTGTAGGATCCTGCTCCCTAGCTCTGTAACAGCCCATTGGGAATGCACTAACCCATCAGCAATGGAGGTCATGGCTGATACTGCTCATGCTCACATCTCCCCAGGAGCTCAAGGGGAGCTCAGGCTGGATCCAGGTCCGAGCTCTGCCCTCCCATGGCTCTCTCCAAACCTCCCAGAGGCGCAAGACAACATTGGCTCAGCCCTGAGCCTTCCAGAGACCGGCTCAGACATCATCCCCACAGCTGCCCTTGGCAGTGAACAAGCTGAGCAGCCTCACTCAGGCCCTTCAGTCATCCACCTCCAGCCCCAGAAAGCCGACCCACACCATCCTATCTTCCCTCCGGGCTGCAAGACAGACAGGGCGGCAGCCCCTTCCCCATGGCATTCATTTCCATTTCCTTCAAAGCTGGAACGTACTCTTTGGATTTGGAAAAGAGATTCTATTCCATGTCAAGTGGCCAAAATGCAAATACTCAGGAGTTCTCTTGGTCCCAGAAGCCTTATGCTGACGTGTGAAAGCTGCTGTTGCCAGCAGCCAGGCCACACAAGGATAGTGCCATTCTTGCGGTTACCTGTCTCTGGCTGGATGGTGTCCACGGCTTCCCATTCCTCTTGGGCTCGGAGCACCTCTGTACTCACAGCTGCAAGAGTGACAAAAGGAGATTCCCAGTTCAGGGATGCCTGGACCGCTCCTGCAGAACCCAGCCTCATGGGCCCGCCTGCTTTGGACCTTGATCCTCCCACACTGCCTCTTCTCACAGCTGCCAGAATGAGCTTCAGAAACAGAGCTGATATCAGCCACACAGTTTGCAAAACCCTCCAGGGATTCCCCATGACCCTTGCCTTAAACCCATGCTCTACAGCATCCGAATCCCTTCCTAATCTAGATCCTTCTTACTCCCTCTCGCACTGCTCCAGAGCTGTACAGAAACACCAAGTATTCCCCAACGTGCTCTGCATCCTCCCACCCTCTGTGCCTGTGCACTGGCTGCCCTCCTGCTGAAGCAGGACCCCGGGGTCTCTGCAGGCAGAGCTCCTCCTCATCCTCTGGTTAGCTCCAACGCCCCCCTCTCCTGCAGGCTCTCTCTGACCTCACCAGTCTTGGTAAACCTACCTGCCTCTGTGAGACTCTGGTAGCTGCTGCTTTCTGAACTCTCAGAACTGTCTCTCACACTACATCACTCCAGGCGTGTCCAGAGCCCAGCAGTGTCTGGCCCATGACAGGTGCTCATCACATGTTCGGGGAAATGAATGAAAGCAGAGGACATCACATGACCAGACAGTGCTGAGAGAGTAGACCCGGGGACTAGCTGCAATGCCAATGGATGTGAAGGAAGACAGCAGGATTGGGAAGCTGTACAGCTTGTTGCAAGCACGTCTGAGAGCTGATCAACATGAAGGCTTCATCTCTGCCACTTACCAGCTGCGTTTCTAGCAAGTTACTTAATCATCTGCAACTCTTGTGGCCTGCTGGGAGGATATGTTAAGTCTCTGGCTTCTCAGAGGGGTATGTGACCCAGAGGTAATGGCTCAGTAAATGTTAGTTGTGGGCCTAGGCCCTGCACAGGGCAGAAGAGAGTAGGATTGGGGTTTCTTTGAACCTCTAGCAAATTCCATCTTGCACTTTTAGTCTGGGGTGACAGACATTGAGCCTCGGGGCTTCTAAGCTTGACACCCTCAACAGAATAATTGAGAGTAGATAATGCAGAAGATAAAACTCATATTTATCAAGCTAGAACCTTGTGCTAAGAGGGATTAAGAGGGAGAAAGCGGCTTAACAAAACAAAGATGGGTGTATGGCCTACTGTAGGGCCAGTCAGCACATCCACAACCTGTATCAGGGCACCAGTGTCTGATCCCTGTCTCTGGCTCCTAGCTGCAGCTCCCTGCTAACACAGACCCGAGGAGGATGCAAACAGTGCCTCAAGGGATAAGATACTTGTCACCCACATGGAGCACCTGCATCGGGTTTCTGGCCCTTGGCCATTGCAGTCGTGAGGCCAGGGAGTGGACCAGTGGATGGGAGTTCTGTCTCTACCTTCCTCTCTATCTCCACCTCTCTAGTAAATAAACAAACAACAAAAAAGTTCTTTTAACTTATATTTTATTAACTTCTAAATGCTTACAACAGCCAGGCCAGAGCCAGGAGTTTCGAACCAAATCTGTGTTTTCCACATGGGTGGTAGGGAGCCAGCATTGAGCAATCACCTGTCGCCTTCCGGGACACACGTGAGCAGGCAGCTGGACTGGGGACAGAGGACCTGCGATGGGGGTGGTCCAGGCAGCATCTTCACTGTCAAACACCCACCCCTCAATACATACAAGCCATGTTTATTTATTTATTTTTTTTTAAAGAGAGGAGTGGGCTAGCAGTATGGAATGTATGTTCTGCATCCCACCAGGATCTCTGTGCCCCCAGTCCCTCGCTCACAGGCAGATGTATTGATCGTGACCCATCAGACCCTCATCTACAGATAATGTGATCAATCTTTCATCCCAGCACACCCTCGCCTGCAAAAGATCGGGGCAAAATCTGTGAGCTGGGAGCGGAGCGCTCCACAGCAAGCTGGTGGGGATTTGCTTTCAACACGCTAAGCACACACAAAGTACAAGGCTTCAACTAGCAATAGCAATCTAGGGCCTACAAACTGATGACAAAGGCTCAGCCCACACAAAAACTTCTTTCTTCTTGGAACCAGGAAAAATCAGCCTGACAGAGATACTGTTTTCTGGGGCTTGTGCTGTGTGGTGCATGTTGAATCTGCACCTGTGGCACTGGCATCCCGTATACCTGCTGATTCCAGTCATGAGTTCTTCAATTCTGACCCAACTTCCTGCTAATGACCAAGCAGTGGAGGATGGCTAAAAGCCTTGGGAACCTACACCCACCCTGGAGACCCAGAAGGAGCTCCTGGCTCCTGGCTTTGGACCAGCCTAGCTCCGGCCAGTGCAGCCATTTGGGGAGTGATGTAGCAGATGGAAGATGTCTTTGTCTCTCTATATCTCATTCTATAATTTTGCTTTTCAAATAAAAATAAAGAAGTCTTTCTTAAAGAAAAAAAAAAAAACTTTTCCTCAAACCAAGAAAGAAAGGACAAGTCATTAGGATGATTAACACAGCTTGTATCAACATGATGTTTCATATTTTTTCCTTTTAAAAATGCTTATTTTCACCTATTTGAAAGGCAAAGTGATGGAGACACAAAGACAAAGGGAGAGAGAGATCTTCCATCCACTGGTTCAATACCCAAATGCCTGCAACAGTCAGGACTCGGCCCAGTCAAAGCCAGGAACTCCATTTGGGCCTCCCAGAGGGTGTGGTTGGGACCTAAGTACTTGAACCATTATTTGTTGCCTCCCAGTATACACTGGCAGAAAACTGGGTTAGAAGTAGAGTAGCTGGGCCTTAAACTGCCACTGAGTGTCAGCTTAACTCTGTCACCTTAACTCACTGTGCAACAACACTCACCTCTTTTTTAACCTTTCTAAAATTTCTTCCTTTAGGACCCCGGTGGCGTGCCTAGCAGCTAAAGTCCTCACCTTGAATGTGCTAGGATCCCATATCGGCACCGGTTCTAATCCCAGCAGCTCCACTTCCCATCTAGCTTCCTGCTTGTGGCCTGGGAAAGCAGTCGAAGATGGCCCAATGCTTTGGGATCCTGCATCCACATGGGAGACCTGGAGGAGGTTCCTGGCTCCTGGCTTCAGATCGGCACAGCACTGGCCGTTGCAGTCACTTGGAGAGTGAATCATCGGATGGAAGATCTTCCTCTCTGTCTCTCCTCCTCTCTGTATATCTTACTTTGCAATAAAAATAAATAAATCTTAAAAAAAAATTCCTTCCTTTATTTTGGTTCTCTTTCATTTACTCATACAGCAGACAGCAATGTTAACTTTCTCGGCTCACTAATTTACATGAACAAGAGGGTAGGCATTTGGCCTGGGGGCCGAGATGCCCGTCAGAGCGCCTGCATCCCATGCTGCAGTCCTGGCATTCATTAATGGACAGGGATGACGACTCGGTAACGACCTGAGAAGCTGAGTTAATGTCTTCTGCACTGGTGGGGGGAGGGGTGGTCCTGTCTGACTGGCCCTATCCAGCTGTTGAGGAACTTTGGGGATAACAGCTGTGTTTGTCTCCATCTCTCTACCTCTCAATCAAATAAATGAAGATAAAAAATTTCGCAAGAAATTATAATTATTTTATGTGATGAAAAATACCCGGCACAAAGTATAAGTTGCATTTAAACACAATATTTTGGCATTTAAGGCAAAAGTTATTAACTTTTTTTCAAAAACTATTTTTTCATAGGTTTAAACTCCATTAGGTGACGATATCAAAGTTATTAACTTATCAGTGTGGGACGTGTTACCCTACAGCAGCGGTGGAAGCATGCGGCCTGCAGGCAGTCCAAGGCCCATGAAATCTGTCAAGGCAACTGCAGGCGGGACTAGAAAGTCAATAAATCTACAGTAGGTTAATTTTTAAGCTAAAAATTTTGTTATGACTCATGATTGATGTTATAAACATCCAAATGGCCCTTGACGGAAAAAACGTTTCTCCACCCTTGCCGCACAGTAAGGATAAAATCCCATTAAAAGGAAGTGCAAGGGCAGGCACTTCACCTGGCAGTTAAGATGCCCATACCCTGCACTGAGGACCTGGATTGCCACCTGGGACCAAGGTCCACACCCTTTATGTGAGTGGGGATTGGGGCTGGAGGGCACTAGGTAAGGAGGACGTCACTATCAACGCACACCCTGTGTCCAGAGGCTGTCCCGTTTCTGTTAGCCAGCTCCCCCTCGCCTCACTTCATCACCCTTTTAAGGATTCTTCAAGATAAACTTCATGCCTAAGGAGAGCAGAAATATTTAGAGGGGCATATTATTTTTAAGGTTTATTTTATTCATTTTCATTTGACAGGTAGAGAGAGAGAGGAGAGCAAGCTTCCATCTGCTTGATTCCTGAATGCCTGTTCTGGGCCCATCATGATGGCTCAGTGGCTCAAGCCTCTCCTCGCCTCTCTCCTTTCTGGGATCTCACATGGGCACTGGTTCTAATCCCAGCTGCTCCACTTCCCATCCAGCTCCCTGCTTGTGGCCTGGGAAAGCAGCTGAGGACGGCTAAAAGCCTTGGGACCCTGTACCCACCCTGGAAACCCAGAAGAGGCTCCTGGCTCCTGGCTTCGGATCAGCTCAGCTCTGACCATTGCAGCCATATGGGGAGTGAAATAGCAGATGGAAGATCTTTCTCTTTCTCCATAAATCTGATTTGCCTTTCGAATAGAGATAAATAAATCTTTAAAAAACTCTGTGACAAATTGTTAATAATTATATTATTATAATTTTAATGATTGTGTGGCTAAAATTTACTTCATATGAATGAAGGTGAGCATGTCTTCATTTGTTTATTGTGCCTGTTTTCCTGCTAACTACAGTCTTTCTACTTTTCATTTATTGAACTCTATTTCGTAGAGCCAAGTAGAGGCAGGTGTGTTTTTCTCCACAATAAGTTAGCAAGCAGGGTGGGCTTTACACGTAGTTCAGGAGGGGCAGCTGTTTGGCATAGTGGCTAAGACACCACCTGGACATCTGTGACACACGTCCTAGTGACTGAGTTTCCAGCTCTGCTTCCCATTCCAGCTTCCTGCTCATGTCCCCCTGGAGGCGATGGCGCAAGCAGCCTGGTCCCTTCCAGCTACCTGAGAATTCCAAGCTGCTGGCTTTGGACTGGCCCACCCCTGGCTGTTGTGGACAGAAAGTGAACAAATCGATGGAAAAATCTTTGCATCTATCTGTATTTCTGCCTTCCAAATAAATTAATTTAAATTTTTAAAAAATATATATATAGTATAGTGTCATGTTAAGCAGGTTAATTAAGTAATTAAGTAAAAATACTAAATGACTTTTCCTTTTTTTTTTTTGAGATTTATTTATTTATTGGAAAGTCAGATATACAAAGAGGAGGAGAGACAGAGAGGAAGATCTCCCATCCGATGGTTCACTCCCCAAGTGATCACAATGGCTGGAGCTGTGCTGATCTGAAGCCAGGAGCCAGAAGCCTCCTTCAGGTCTCCCATGTGAATACAGGATCCCAAAGCTTTGGGCCATCTTTGACTGCTTTCCCAGGCCACAAGCAGGGAGCTGGATGGAAAGCGAGGCCGCTGGAATTAGAATTGGCATCCACCTGGGATCCTAGCACTTGCAAGGTGAGGACTTTAGCTGCCAGGCTACTGTGCCGGGCCCCTAAGAGACTTCACACAGGTCTCATTTACACAATATCCCTTTGGGGATGAGAGAGGTATTAACATTCCCCTGACAGATACTTCACTTTGCCCAGAAACACAAGGTAATCCATTGGCACAGAAAGATTAGAACTCAGTCTTTTGGTTCCTGACCAAGTTTTCTCAAGGAATGACAAATCCTCAGGATTATGAAGATCAAAGAGCAAGAGAAATTCAAGGAACAGAAAGTGCGTCCGAGACCCGTCCTGGAGTGGGGCAGGCCGGCAGGGGTTGGCAGCAAATTTAGAGTTTGAGGTGGTTCCCGCGTGTGGCCTTACCCTGCGCTCTCCTGTCCCCTGGCTGTGCTCGCTCCACCATGCCCTGTTCTGAGATTCCCGCCATCTCCCCTAGCAAGGGCCGGCCCGCAGAGGAGGGGCGCTGTGGCTGCACTGTACCGGCTCGCACAGCACGCCAGGCCCCGACCTGGGCTCTGCACGGGCCACGGGCTACGACCTGTACAGTGCCCACGATTATACAATACCATCTTTGGACAAAGCTGCTGTGAGAACAGACATTCAGACAGCACTTCCTTCTGGGTGCTATGGAAGAGTAGTTCCACGTTCTGTCTTGGCTGCAAAACACTTTATAGATGTAGGATCTGGTGTCAGAGATGAAGATTATAGAGAATTTTTCTTAAATGTCTTAGAATTTTGCACTTCTGTAAACCTAATGGCTTTAGCTTCTAAAATTATCTCCTTTGCTTTTGAACGAGGAAAAAATCTTTGGTACAAAGTCACTTTCCTGTGTTTTTCTGCAGTTGATGGTTGTATGTAAATGTGTTGTAGTGACTTCAAAGTGAAATGTGTATCAATTTCAGATTTTAAAAAAACTACTGTATTGTTTAATTCAATAAAGGATACCTCCAGGCCCAGTATGATAGCGTAGTGGTTAAAGTCCTTGCCTTGCACGCACCAGGGTCCCATATGGGCACCGGTTCTAATCCCAGCAGCTCCACTTCCCATCCAGCTCCCTGCTTGTGGCCTGCGAAAGCAGTCGAGGACGGCGCAAAACCTTGGGACCCTTCACCCATGTGGGAGACCCAGAAGAGCTCCTGGCTCCTGGCTTCGGATTGGCTCAGCTCCAGCTGTTGTGGCCACATGGGGAAGACAGAAGATCTTCCTCTGTGTCTCTCCTCTCTGTGTCTCTGGCTTTCCAGTAAAAAATTTAAAAAAAAAAGGATAACTCCAGGAAAAGAGAGAAAGAAAGAAAGAAAGAAAGAAAGAAAGAAAGAAAGAAAGAAAGAAAGAAAGAAAGAAAGAAAGAAAGAAAGAAAGAAAGAAAGAAAGAAAGAAAGAAAGAAAGAAAGAAAGTCAATTCAAGGGCAGGTTTGCGTTGGGTTCTGCTCAGAGCATCCTGAAGGAGAGCTTACCGGGGGGTTCCCATCCGTGAGCGTCTGCTGTCAGGGCACGGAGAAGGCTGTGGTTCCGCAGCTCCGAGATCTGTAAGGGCACTGGTGTTTAGAGTGAGAGCAGAAGCCACAAGCCTGGTGCACACAAGCTCTTCCCACCCACTGCACTCAACAACCATGACATGAACCTGGAGGCCAGAAGGAGCTGGGGGGTCCAGGAGGTGGATTAAAGTTCACCTAAAAGTGAGAGACCTGGCTGACTTGGTGACAATCACATACCCTGCTTGAATAGTAAGTAAACAAAGTTTCACACAATTCCTTTCAGACCTGGTGCACCTTTTCTTTGCTGTTGCCTCTTCGTTCTGCCCTGTGCCCTAAGGCACCTCTCTGTGGTGCATGCTGGTGCTCCACACCCCCTCCCCACAAGTGTGCGCTCCTGGAGGGGGCGGTCTATGCCATCCTGTGTTCCCCTGCTCAGTCCCGTGCCTGGCACCGCCAAGTGGTATGCGACAGCTTGAACTAGCTGGAGGTCCCCAGGGAAGGTGAGACATACAGAGATTCCTCTGAAAGCCGGAAGAGCACTGTTGTCCTTGTCACATGACGGAGCCAACTCAGCAGACATGGTTTCAACCTGTAAGAGAAACCAGGATCAGTTTCCCAGGTACATATCAATCCCCTGAAGGCCACAACTTAAAAGTCCTATCTTTTCCCAGTATCACTCACACACACACACACACACACACACACACAAAGTAGCCAAACCAGTTGCTTTGCAGAGGAATACCACAGGGGCAAAAACAAAGTTGTCTAATCTGGTCTCAAGAAAACTTGAAAAGATTTACTTAAAGCTATCTCAAGACCATTATACAGACATCGATGTCATAGCTCAGTAGGGGCTGGAACGTCACGCATGATGTTGGCATCCCGTACGAGCACCACATTGAGTTCTAGCTGCTCTAGCTCTGATGTAGCTCCCTGCTGTTGTGCCTGGGAAAGCAGCAGCAGATGGCCCCAGTGCTTGGGCCCCTGCACCCATTTTGGAGACAGGAATGAAGTTCTGGATGCTGGGTTCAGGCTGGGCCAGCCCTGGCCATTGTGGACATTGTTGCTAGCAGACCAGTGGATGGAAGCTTGCTCATGCTCGCTCTCCTTACCTCTGCTCTTCAAATATGTAAAATCAGTCTTTCAAAAAATGCTACTCTGATTTCTTGGCTCTGTTAGTGATGTTAGGGCTCTGAACAGGTCAAGTTCAAGGAGGCAGTTTCCTGCAGCCTTTCAGCTCGGCCAGGCCTTTCCTCTACTAGAGTTAAAAATTAAAAAGCAAAACAAACTTATCTATTTGCAATTCATACCACAGATACAAAGCCATTTTTTAAAGAATATTAAAAAACTCTACAAATGATGAACTTGACAGCTGACAGAAAAATGGGCCAAAGACATGGACAGTTTAAGGGAAAGCACATATCATGCTTAAACATATGAGCAAATGCTCAACCTCACTCCTAAGAGAAAAGGACAAAAACCTGTAAAGCTATTCTGCGGTGCTATGTGTCCATCATGTTTTTGATAACACAAAATGTTGGCTGGAGGGCAAGGGTCCCGGCACCCTGGAGAGCAGACAGCTGCCACCTCTACAGCTTGACCGTAACTGACAAGCTCACACTTGGGGTAGCCGGTATCTAAGGCCAGCAATTGTGTCCCAGTCATGGAACTAACAGACATACACTAACATTTATAGCTGTCATTCATTGGAGCAATTTATAAATAGCAAAAGACTGGGAAAATCCAACACGTTCACTAACTAATGGACTGATTAACAAATTAGAGTGTATCCATCCCAGGCAACAGAGTGAGAACGTTTTATGGGCAATATAGGAGCAGCTTCATAGCCAGCTAAACGAGAAAGCAAAAGACAGAGTAAACACACCCGTTTACCACTGAACTAAAGACAAAAACTTAGCGCCAGGTGTGGTGGCCTAGTGCCTAAAGTCCTCACCTTGAACGTGCCAGGATCCCATATGGGCACCAGTTCTAATCCCAGCAGCTCCACTTCCCATCCAGCTCCCTGCCTGTGGCCTGGGAAAGCAGTCAAGGACGGCCCAAAGCCTTGTGACCCTGCAACCATGTGAGAAACCCGGAAGAGCTCCTGGCTTCTACTTTGAATCGGAGCAGCACTGGCCATTGTGATCACTTGGGGAGTGAATCATTGGATGGAAGATCTTCCTCTGTGTCTCTCCTCTTCTCTATATATCTGATTTTGCAATAAAAATAAATAAATCTTATTAAAAAAAAAACCACCTAAAAAACAACATCTCGGGCCCGGCGCGGTGGCACAGTGGTTAAGGTCCTCGCCTTGCACGCCCGGGATCCCATATGGGCGCCAGTTCTATCCTGGCAGACCCACTTCCCTTCCAGCTCCCTGCCTGTGGCCCAGGAAAGCAGTCGAGGACGGCCCAAAGCTTTGGGACCCTGCACCCGCGTGGGAGACCCGGAAGAGGCTCCTGGCTTCAGACCGGCATAGCATCGGCCGTTGCGCTCACTTGGGGAGTGAATCATCGGACGGAAGATCTTCCTCTCTGTCTCTCCTCTCTGTATATCTGCCTTTCCAATAAAAAAAAAAATAAAAATAAATCTTTAAAAAAAAAAAAAAACATCTCTTTAGCCAACAGGCCATGGTGCCGGGCCCGAAAAGAAAATATAAATTGCTTCTGTCAATGCCCTGGATCCCAGGTTATCCTGTTATTCTCTTTTTAAAAACAGTAGTATATGAAAATTATCACCAGCTTTTTAAAAAAGATTTATTCCTTTTTATTTGAAAGACAGATTTTACGGAGAGAGAGGTCTTCCTTCTGCTGGTTCACTCCTCAAATGGCTGCATCTAGACTTATTCAAAGCTACGAGCCAGAAGCTTTTTTTGGATCTCCCATGTGAGTGCAAGGGCTCAAGGCTTTGAACCATCCTCTGCTGCTCTCCCAGGCTATAAGCAGGGAGGTGGAGCAGCTAGGACTTGAGCTGGTACCCACATGGGACGCTGATGCAAGCAGGCAGAGGACTGGCTTACTATACTACCATATTAGCCCCGATCCTGTTATTCTAATCCTACTCCATATCTTTGCTAATTCACATTCCTTTAATATTAGTTGCCAATTAACAGTCCTTTAATTCCTTAAGCACACTTCTGATTTCTTTTTAAATATTTATTAATTTCATTGAAAGTTACAGTCAGAAAGATAAAGGCATGTGAGATCTTTCAACCACTGGTTCACTGTCCAAGCGACCACAACAGCCAAGGCTGGTCTGTGCTGCAGCCAGGAGCCAGGAGCCCTACCCAGACCCACCATGTGGGTGACAGTGGCCTAAACTCTTTGGGCCACTTCCTGCTGCTTTCCCAGGCTATTAGCAGGAAGCTAAATCAGAAGTGGAGCTGCTGGGACATGCGGTGGGAGCTCGTACTGCAGGCGGGGGCCAGGATTGTGGGGAGTTGGGGGTTCCTCGCTGAACCATAACACTGGCCCCCGACCTTTGATGTATCTTTATGTATCAAATGTGGAAACAGATGTCTAAACACACCACAGCTGGGCCAACTCTCCCATCACAGGCCTCACGACCCACGAGCCCCATTCCTCACTGCAATCTAAAACCACTGCGGCAGCTCCCATCCCGGCCACCCCCTGATACATATGGTTTTCCTGCAGAATGCAGCCCCACTCCCACCCCCATCTTCTCCAGGTCCTCTGGGTGCACCTCCTGAGGGCATGGCCTACCTCACCCCTTGGGGCTACAATGGCTTATCCTGTCTTCAAGTCCTGCAGCCTCAGTATGTAGCACACGGGTTCCCCTCCAAAAATCTACATTATTTCTTTTACATTTCCTATCCCTATTAGCATAGAGCTAGGCATTATATACTTGTCTCAATTTTTATCTCTATTTTATGAAAAAGAAGATATTAGGTGATGCGTAGTGCCGCTCCCTGCAGGTCTGTGCGCTGGGAATCGCTGCAAGCTTGCTTTTCCTCCTAACGTGGTCCCCGACAATGACCCGACACTTCCCTCTGATGGACAGTTCACCTATGGGGTCTCAGAGCCTGGGTCTGTCCCTCACCAGATCCTACAGACTCCATGCAGGACCACTTCCAGGTGGGCACGGCAGGGCACAGGTAAGGAATGCAAGCTGAACTGCCAGGTTCCTACGAGGCGCATCACACTGAAGTAGACACTTGAGACTAACAGGCCAAAGCAGGTGTTTTACACGGAAGGAGCCAGTCAGGAAAAGCAAGCAAATGCATGAAATCCAGGTTTCTTGGGAGATTCCTCACTGAAATTCTACCTTTCACACAAGCAAATCCAAAAGAGAATTCAAGCAATTCTTTTAGAAAGCAAGCTACCAGAAAAGGCAATTAAAAATCTAACAGAGCTGAGAGAATGCTAGTCCTTTCCAGGAATATGTCTCAAGCTCTACATTTTTGTTTTGTTTTGTTTTGATAAGTAGACCCTCTGTGTTATTATTAAGCATATATAATTCAACCCAACATTTCTGGTTTTTGTTTTTCCTAAGCAGCAGTTGCTTACCTGTCCATCTCTGGAGTCTTTCTCATTAGGGAAAGAGTCCAATTTCTCACTCATGACTCAAAAGCATTTGTTCAAGGGCTGTTAGGGCCCAGTTAGGATCTGAGATCAGGAGCCACGGGGAGAGCTGGCACCCGGCTGCTGTACCCTCGCCTTCCCTCTTGGCAGTTACTCAGACTGCAAGCAAGAAAATGGGGCCCCTGTGCACTCGCCGGGGTGCAGGAGGCTTCTGTGAGCCCCGAGAGAAGTCCCTGGGGCCCGTGGAGCCTTGGCTCTGGAAAAACACACAGTGACAAGGGAAATGGATTTCATCATTCTGTTCATCTCTTGAGAAAACCAAAAATGACAGAGTCCTTAAAGCAGCTGTGTCTGGGCCCGGCACTGTGGCCTAGACGATAAAGTCCTCACCTTGAACGTGCCGGGATCCCATATGGGCACCAGTTCTAATCCGAGCAGCCCCATTTCCCATCCAGCTCCCTGCTTGTGGCCTGGGAAAGCAGTAGAGGACCGCCCAGGGCCTTGGGACCTTGCACCCGCATGGGAGACCCGGAAGAGCACCTGGCTCCTGGCTTCAGATTGGCATAGCACTGGCCATTGTGGTCACTTGGGCAGTGAATCATCGGACAGAAGATATTTCTCTCTGTCTCTCCTCCTCTCTTTATATATCTGACTTTGCAATAAAAATAAATAAATCTTAAAAAAAAAAAAAAGTAAAAAACTGTGTCAATGTGTTCTCAGTGAACAAGCCAAATACTGGCCTCTTACTACCCAATGCCCTCACTGGAAAGAAAAGACCCCTGGGGGGAGGGGAGGGTCTCACATTTGAGGTGGTAAGGAAGTTCTTGGGACCTGGGTAGGTTTATCAAGGGGTAAGCACCTCGGTGGGCTCAGGTTTTGCTCAGGCCCCACACAGACTGAATCTGGGTGGGGGGTTATCCTACAAGGGCCTCATCCCTTGATGACAGAAACTGAAAATGTAGTACCAGGTTCTCACCTTCCTGGGTCATTGCCAACACAGTGCAGGTGGCTGCCCAGCCAGTTTGGTGAGTGCCGAGGTCCTCATCTCGCCTTGCCTGCCTCAGGAAAAACGGCTGGACAGGCTCACACCTTCTCCCAGGGGAGCAGACAGCCATGGCTGCCGCTCTTCTTCAAAGCAGGCCTCACACAACGGACAACCATGCTCACCAGCTCGGCTGAACACGGGAGGAAGGTGGCCCCTTGACCAGGCCAGCCTCCCACCGTCTGAGTGCCGGCTGGATTCCCTGAGAATTGGCCTGTTGTCACCCTGGGACTTTGTCAGGAGGCACTATGAGTCCAGAGCGGGAACCACCTCCTGGCTGGCTCCCTGCAACCTCTTCGTTGACCCCTCAGGAACTTCCTCTCTTCCTCTCTCTCTCTCTCTCTCTCTCTCTCTCAGATCTCAGCCTCACCCAATCTTTTCCTTTCCCTGCACTTGGGCCTCCAAGACAGCACATGACAAAATACACATCAGCTGATCTTGGCCAAATGACAGCGGACAAATCCATTCAGATGGAAGGAAGCCAATAGCCTACAGCGGGAGCAGCTGTGCCCACTGCGCTGCAGGGCGGCGGCAGAAACTGTGTCAGACAGAAAGAGAAGACGGCAGAACAAGCAAGTGCTGGTGTCGGGGGTGTTGGCACAGCCCCTGAAACCACCACTCAGTCTGCTTCAAGTCTGGGCTGCTCCAGGCTTCCTTCAGCTTCCTAACATACGAGGAAGGCCTTGGGTCCCTGGCACACTCGGGGGAGACCCTTTCCGGCCGTCGCGGTGCAGGCATCTGGGGAGTGAATGAGATGGCTCAGGTGCGATCTCTCTTTCTCACTCACTCTCCCAAGTTTGCATTGGGCAAGAAGCTTCTTTAAGGAGGTAGGAGTTTTCAACTGCTCGATCGCTGAATAAGTATCTCAATTAGACTAGCTGGGTTATCCTTAACTATATATATACATGCTTATAAAAGCTAGGACAATCCTTCGCTGATCCTAGCGTCAGGCTTGTCCCCGGGCGGCTCCAGCTAGCCGCAGCCAGGCTCGATTTGGGGGACAGACAGCACCGGCCTGGGGGCGCCGCTCGTGCCCACCGTGCCAAGCGGGCCCCTTGTTGGGGGCGCAGGGCCGGTACTCGTCGGCTCCCAACAGAGAGCTCCGCGAATCTGGAGCCGCTGAGTGGGAAACAGAACCTCTGCCCCGGCCTGGTCTCCCCGATCCCCGGCGCCCCCTCCTCAGCCCACCCTGCAGCTCGCAGGCCGCGGCCCCCGCGTTACCAGAGCTTTTCCGGCTGGGGGGCTTCGCATCCCCCGCTGGGCCGCATCCGCGCAGGCGCACAGTGCCGCCAGCGGCGCCGCCTCCCGCGGCCTCGAGGACTACACTACCCAGCAGGCAATGGAAACTTGGCGCGGCCAAGCGGGGACGGAGAGCCAGGAGGATCAATCTGCATCCGGGTTGGCTTCGCTCCCGAAAGATTTCTCTTTATCAATGGTCAAAAGCGGCCTCCGCCTCCCGACTTGGGGAGGGCAGAAGAGCCGGGCGGAGCCACTGCCCCTTGAACCCGGCGGAGTCGCAGCCAGCTGATTCCCCCGGACCCGGCACGGCAGGCGGGATGTGGCTCGTGCTGCTGCTGCCGGCAGCGCTGCTGCTGCTGGTTCTTCGCAAAGTTTACCTGGGGCTGTTCGCCAGCAGCTCCCCGAACCCCTTCTCGGAGGACGTCAAGCGGCCTCCCGCGCCCCTGGTGACCGACAAAGAGGCCAGGAAAAAGGTTCTCAGACAAGGTCAGCGGAAGGGAGCCTGGGGTCCCGGAATGAGCTCAGGCATTGTTGCTGGTTGCATTCGCATTCGGCCAGGTTTGAGCCTCAGTTTACCCACGGGTGCTGTGTGGGGACGGCTTCCGTGCACGTGGAGGCGCCTGTGGGAAGCTCTGCCGCTAGCAAGCGCCTTCGCCCCCAACAAACCCGTGTGCTTAGCCCCGAGGCGCCGACAGGGTCCTGGAGCGCGTCTCGTGGCATGGCCGAGTGCTGGCACTGCCCCTTGGCATCCGCACAGCCAACGAGAGCTGAAAGACCTCTCCCTGCCTGGCTGCTCGCTCCTCGGCCGTCTCGTTGTTTGGGGGGCCCTGAGAGAGCTGCACAGAAATGTCTCCCTAAATACGCTGGAGAGGGCGTTTTGTGATGGATTCCAAAGGTGAAGATTCAGAGGGTTAAACTTTGTTTCTAGAGCTTTTCGGAGACACTCGGTAGCAACAGGCTCCTCATATTTCCTCTTCCAAACACATCTGGAAGTCACATCTTGGAAAGCTGACGGCGCCCTTGAGTTCCAGGGTGTGTCCACAAGGAAAACAGCATCTGTCCCCTACTTGCTGCGTAGCCATTAACAAACCACTTTACCTATCTGGGATGGCCATAAAGTGAGATTGCTAGTTTATCTGTGTGTATAGATCTGGTTACAATGTACTAATGGTTGAGGAAGTCCAGGGAACGGTGGCAGCTAGCTGTTATGAACGCAATAGGAAGGAAGATGCCAGAGTGCCAGGATGTTTCTGTATTATGTTCTTCATTTGCATGTTTGGAGTTGTGATTTTAAACGTGTTTTTCTTTTTTTCTCACTATGGGGCTCTAAAAATGTTTGGTGAGTAAAAAGTCTACCAAATTATCTTGCTGCTTTAAAATTCCAAATTTCAGTCCTTCCACAGTGTTTTTGTTCTTTGTTTGTTTAAGAGCAAATCTTGGGGCCAGTGTTATGGCACAGCAAGACAAAGCATCAGTTGTGATGCTGGCATCCCACAGGGAAGCGCTGGTGCACGTCCCAGTGGCTCTGCTTCCGGCCCAGCTCCCTGCTGTCCCTCAGAAGGCAGTGGAAGATGGCCTAAGCAGTTTGGCCCTGCCACCTGTATGGGAGATGTATAGGGACCAGCTGGCTCCTGGGTTCAACTTGATCTAGCCCTGGCTTTGGGGGGAGTGAATCAGCAAATGGAAGATCTCTGTCTTGTCTCCCTCTCTTTCTGTTTCTAAGCTTTCACATAATTAAGTCTTTTAAAAAATAATAAAAGGGCCCAGTGCAATAGCCCAGTGGCTAAATCCTCACCTTGTATGCACTGGGATCCCGTATGGATACCAGTTTGTGTCCTGGCTGCTCCATTTCCCTTCCAGCTCCCTGCTTGGTGTCTGGGAAAGCAGTAGACGATGTCCCAAGGCCTTGGACCCTGAACCCACACGGGAGACCTGGAAGAAATTCTTGACTCCTGGCTTCAGATCAGCTCAGCTCTGGCTGTTGGGGCCACTTGGAGACTGAACCAGCAGATGAAAGAACCTTCTCTCTGTCTCTCTTTCTCTCTTCTCTGTAAATCTGCCTTTTCAATAAAAATAAAATCTTAAAAAAAAAAGTGCTATCCAGTTCTGTCTTGAGGTGCTGTGTCCCCTTGCCCTGGCCCCCTGGTCTGCCCACGGCTCCCCTGAAGAGAGGGAGTGGGGCTGTGATTCCTCTGAGCAGCTCCATCCCCTCCAAGCCTGCCCGTCAGGGTCTGCACAAGCCCACCACACAGCTCGGTTGTCTTTAACCGCTTCACATCACTTGGTTTAGTCGTGAGTCTTGCTGGGGGAAGTGGCTGGGGCCTCTCAGCCTGTGAGCTCTGTGCCGCTGAAGGGCTTCTCTGACCTCCCTGTGCCCCGCCGGACGCCCACTCTCTCCCTCCCTCCTCTCTTTCTGCGGCAGTTTTCTCAGCTAGCCTAGTCCCCGAGCAGCTGGATGCGGTGGTGATTGGCAGTGGCATTGGGGGTCTGGCAGCGGCTGCAATTCTGGCTAAAGCCGGCAAGCGAGTTCTGGTGCTGGAGCAACATGCCAAGGCCGGGGGCTGTTGTCACACCTTTGGGAAGAACGGCCTTGAATTTGATACAGGTGAGCCTCCTGTGGGTGTGAGGCTGTGTCCAGGTAGCATGGGGCTGTGTTGTGGCATGCTACCGTGCATTTCCGCGGGCTTTGGGGGTGGCTGCTGCCTTCTTCCTGTGCGCCTCTTTCCTTGTCTCACAAACCACCTCTATGGGGGTGGGAGACTCAACTGGCCAGGGCGGCTGGGACACCTCCCTGCAGAAAGGATAGCTAGCCCACCCTGGGCTTGAACTTGACAAGACTGGGCAGCCTCTTCTGTCCTCCCTCGCCCACTTTTCCGGGGCTTCTCTCAGTGCCACTCACTTTCGCATCTCCCAACAGGAATCCATTACGTCGGGCGCATGCAAGAGGGCAGCAGTGACCGATTTATCTTGGACCAGATCACGGAGGGACAGCTTGACTGGGCTGCCCTGTCCTCTCCTTTTGACATCATGGTGCTGGAAGGGCCCGACAACCGGAAGCAGTTCCCCATGTATAGTGGGGAAGAGCCATACATTCAGGGCCTGAAGGAGAAGTTTCCAGGGGAGGAAGCTGCCATTGACAAGTATATGAAGTTGGTTAAGGTAATGGGATGTGCGGAGAAGCCTCTGGTTTACTCCCAGCCCGGTTGACCTTCCTGCTTAGAGCAGTGACTGTGGGGAGGCAAAAAGGGAGGGAGAGTCATGTGTCTTGAACTTGGCCTTTGCCCTGTCCACCCGTGTGTCACATGAGCTCCTGGTCCTGGAGCCTCGGCTTAGCTCATGCCGCTCTCACTGTGGCCTCTAGGGGGCACTCTGCCCTTTCCCTAACTTGGCTGGCCAGTTGATCAGCGCTCCTTTTTGCTTCATTCTAGGTCAGGCTTTTTGAAAAGGGAACTGAGCAGAAAATGAACTAAAGACCAAAAACAAAACCAAAATTTAAAAAAATATATATCTGGGTGTGAGTGGGAAACATTCAGAATCCAGATTTTTAAAAAATTCACATATGCAGCTGAGTTCAGCCGGGCTGGGTGTGGGTGGGCTGACCGTGTGCAGGCTGTGGGGTTGGTGACTGTGGCAGCAATGACGCCTCCTTCCTCAGGTGGTTTCCAGTGCAGCCGTCCATGCCGTTCTGCTCAAGTTCCTGCCTTTGCCCTTGGCGCAGCTGCTCAGCAAGTGTGGGCCACTCACGCGTCTGTCTCCATTCCTGCGGGCGTCCACGCAGAGCCTGGCTGAGGTCCTGCGGCAGCTGGGGGCCTCCCCTCAGCTGCAGGCCGTGCTCAGCTACATCTTCCCCACTTACGGTGGGTCTTGAGACCAGGGCCTCTGGTGCTTCCTGTGGTAGGAGATGTTGCCTGCCAGAGCTCTTGTTCTCTTCCCCAGGGAACCTGTGGGAGGTCGAAGGAAGTGGAGCAGCATAAACCCCAGGCCCTCAGGGGCAGGGACTCGTTTGTGGTGGCACAGTGGGTTAAGCTGCTATGCGGGAGAGTGTTGGCTGGAGACCTAGCTCTGCTTCTGATCCAGCTTCCTTCTAACGTATCTTGGGAGACCACAGATGTACTTTGACCCATATAGAAGACCAGCCTGGGGTTTTTGGTTCCTGGCTTAAACCTGGCCCTGGCTGCTGCCACCCTACAGGGAATGAAGTGGTCAGAAGATCTCTTCTCTTTCTCTGCCTTCCAAGTGGATGAAAATACAAATGAGCAAACCCCAGGCCTTCTGGAGCCTCTGGAAGAGCAGCCCATCCACCTGTTAGACCCCCTGCTAGAAACTCCCTTCATCCATGCCCTGAATGACTTTTCTCTCCAACCAATGCTGTCCTCAGTGGTTGGCAGACAGGAGATCCCCCGGCCCTGAGGTCTGCACAGGACCCCATATTTGTTCAGAGGTGGTTCCTCTGGCCGTCCTGGAACCTGGTGGGGAACGCGTGGATGGGGGGTGTAGGCGGGTTGTGGGGTCTGTTGCAAGAGGCCATGTTGCTTCCACATGGCACCAGGCACCTATTCTGAAGCCTCTTCTGCCCTCTGCAGGTGTTACCCCCAGCCACGCCGCCTTCGCCATGCATGCTGTTCTGGTCAATCACTACATCAAAGGAAGCTTTTATCCACGAGGTGGTTCCAGTGAAATCGCCTTCCACATCATTCCGGTGATTCAGCGGGCAGGGGGTGCCGTGCTGACGAAGGCCTCTGTGCACCGGGTGCTGCTGGACTCTGCCGGGAGGGCGTGCGGTGAGGGCCCTGCACTCTGCTCGGGTGGGACAAGCCCAGGTCCTCTCTGAGGATGGAGGTGTAGCAGAACGGACTTCCTGGCTCAAGGAGAAAGGCTAGAACCTTCCTTGCAGCAGGTGCTGAGACATAAGGATGAGACTGGAGATAGAAAGGGGAGCAGGAGGCTAAGGGAGGCCGCAGTCCCTAAGACCCAGAGCATTAAAAAAAGCTTGCCCCGCCACCTGTGACCTTGACCTTGAGGGCAGAGGCAGGGTCTTATTTTTTTATATCTATGGGTCTTAGAAGGTTGTACAGGCTCTATAAGTGTCCTAGGCATGTCACAGGTCACCAGCCCCAGCAGGGCTTCCTGCCCTCAGTCTATGAGGCAGGGTGGGGCCTCGTGTCCCTTGGACTCAGCTCAGGGTGGCCACTGTGCAGGGACTCTCTGAAGACAAGGGCTACACCAGGAAGACCTCTGCTAAGCAGTGTGGGCATCCAGAGAGGCCTAAAGAAGCCTGGGGACAAAAAGAAGACTCAGGGTGATAGAGCGGATTACCTGGGGACGCTTTCAAGGAAAGGGAGCTGGCGGGTGGGAGGCTCAATGGGAAAGAAAAATCAAGGAAGAAAGGCCATTGGTGATGGTATAGGACGCTTGCTGAAGGGACCAGGAGTTGTGGGGTGGTGGCAGGGTGACCACCTCCCACGTCTGCTTCCCGCCCAAAAGGGTCCAACAAACCAGATGGCGGGGTCCTCCAGTTATGGAATCCTATCTGTCTTTTTATGGGTTAGGTGATGAAGGATTGAGATGGCAAGATAAGTCTGTCCCAGGAAGTTTCTAGAATCATAGGGGATGCTCCTGGCAAAATAACTGAAGTGCCAAGGAGCAGCCTGGGCTGAGGGAGGCTTTCAGAGGCATAGGTGTTGGACCATCCTGCAAGTGAACAGCAGCGCTGGCTGGCAGAGGTCAGCCTCCTGGAGCTCACAGTACCAGCCAACCTCTCGTTCCTGCAGGCGTCAGTGTGAGGAAGGGGTCGGAGCTGGTCAACATCTATTGCCCCATCGTGATCTCCAGCGCAGGACTGTTCAATACGTATGAACGCTTACTTCCTGAGACCGCCCGCTGCTTGCCAGGTAAGGTCAGGATGCTCCTCTTCCAGTCCACCCACCAGCCCTGATTGCCCAGGGGTGAGCCTGGCGAGGAGTTGGGGAGCAGTGTGCTTCACCTTTGATGGTCCTCACACACTAAGTGCAAGAACACTGCTCTCTAAGGTCATTCTCTGAACACTTGTGCTGGAGGAAGCCGAGGCCCGTGCAGGTGCACTCACGCCCCTAGACCCCCGCACTGAGTGTGGCTGAGCTGACCGAGAACCATGGTCTCAAACAGACCAGACTCTTGGTATCCCCTGCACTGAAAAGGATCGAGCTTGCAGAGAAAAGACCTCATGCATGAGGCAGGGGAGCAGGTCAGCCGCTAGGGAGCAACATGGCCAAGCTCAGGGTGAGCAGCTGTAGAGATGGCCTGGGTCCTCACTGGCACCTGGGCATCAGGCAGCAGATCCAGGAGCAGCAGCCAGGAGCTCTCCCAGAGCAGGGAGAACCTGCTCCCTAGAACCTCAAGGTCAGCAGTCCCCGTCTGCTCCCTCTGGCAGGAGTGAAGCAGCAGCTGGGGTTGGTGCGGCCCGGCCTGGCCATGTTCTCCATCTTCATCTGCCTCCGTGGCACCAAGGAGGAACTGGGGCTGCAGTCCACCAACTACTACGTTTACTTCGACACTGACATGGACAAGGCGTAAGGCCTGCGTGGGAGCAGCCTGGAGGGAGGGGATGTCCAGGGGGCTCTGACGCCTCTGCTTCCCCCTTCAGGGCTGGGGTTCGGTGGTGTAGGGGGAGGAGGGCCATTTCCAGGGTGCTGTTAGCAGGACTTTTTGGTATCCCTCCCTGAGGGGAGGCCCTGGGCTGTCCTGTGCTGGCTGGGGGTGGGCAGCGGGGAGGAGGGTGCTCTGAGGAAAGGCCTGGGAACAGGCAGGCACGACTCCTCCCATCTGCAGGATGGAGCGCTACATCTCCATGCCCAGGGACAAGGCAGCAGAACACATCCCCTTCCTCTTCATCGCTTTCCCGTCAGCCAAGGACCCGACTTGGGAGGATCGGTTCCCAGGTGGGACTGTAGGTCTCAGGGAAGCAGGGAGGCTGGGGGTGGGGCAGGAGTAAACTCCGGCTTGTGTCCCCAGGCCGGTCCACGATGATCATGCTGGTGCCCACTGCCTTTGAGTGGTTTGAGGAGTGGCAGGAGGAGCCCAAGGGAAAGCGGGGCGGTGACTACGAGACGTTCAAGGGCACCTTTGTGGAAGCCTGCATGGCGGTGGTCATGAGACTGTTCCCACACCTGGAGGGAAAGGTAGGGCGGGGCAGTGTGCTGCAGCCTAGGGGACCTGCCTTCTGCAGCCACTTCTGCCTTGTTCTCAGGCCAGGGAAACAAGGGCTTGGGATAACCAAGCTGAGGGAAAGCCAGGGAGCTCACCCATTTAGGAGCCATCTGCTCATTGAGGAGTCAAGGACCTGCCATCTCAGCTCTTGGCTGCATTGTTGCCTCCCCAGGTGGACAGCGTGACTGGAGGATCCCCGCTGACCAGTCAGTTCTACCTGGCTGCTCCCCGGGGTGCTTGCTACGGGGCTGACCATGACCTGGGCCGCCTGCATCCTCACGTGATGGCCTCCTTGAGGGCCCAGACCCCCATCCCTAACCTCTACCTGACAGGTACACAGCCCACCCTCTCTTGCCACCATCTCAGATCCTGGACCTCCTTGATCCCTGGATTCTTTTGTTCCCATCCCTCATCACCCATCCCTGCAACTCTTACGTGGAGCTGGCTGCTGTACACGCCGCGTGGCCCCGGCCCCAAACTGCAGCCGTCTAGAGGGTCTGCCCCACATTGCGGGGATGGTGGGGGGTTGCACACGGGAGCCCCTGCCTTCCCATCTCCCCCGTGGAGGCAGTCACAGGTCTCTGCTCTTGTCTCCCAGGCCAGGATATCTTCACCTGTGGGCTGATGGGGGCCCTCCATGGGGCCCTGCTGTGCAGTAGCACTATCCTGAAGCGGAACTTGTATGCAGACCTCAAGGCCCTTGGCTCCAGGATCCAGGCGAAGAAGACCTAGTGTGCTCAGCGATGAGTCTGAAGGATGTGGCCGCTGGCTGAGGCGGGCACTCTGGCCCACGATGTCTCCGCATTAGCTCCCTGCACACGTAAAGCATTTTCCTTTTTGATTCTGAAGAAGGCCACCATAACTCCCAGCTTTTTTTTTTCTTTTTAACATTTACTCATTTTTTAAATTAGAAAAGTAGATCAGATTTATGGAAAGGAAAGATCCTCCATCTGCTGGTTCACTCCCCAAGTGGCTGCAACTGCTGAAGCTGAGCCAACTCAAAGCCAGGAGCCAGGAGCTTATTCTGGGTCTCCCATGTGGGTGGGAAGGTCCCAAGGCTTTGAGCCTTGCTTTCCCAGGCCTGCATTGCTTTCCTAGGCCACAAGCAGGGAACTGCAGGGGAACAAAAGCACCTGGGACACAAACTAGCATCCACATGGGATCCTGGCACTTGCAAGGTGAGGATTTTAGCTACTAGGCCATCACGTGATGACCTCTTAACACTTTTCAGTATAAACAAACTGTCCTGCTAGAGCAGTGCCCTTCTGCGTCACCACCCAGCGTGCACAATCCCAGTGAATATTCTTTGGGTTAGGTGGGTAGAGTCCCTGACAATGGAGGTCAGCTGAAGTCAGTTGGCCACCTTCCCCTCATCTACAATCAACGCTGTCCCACAGTCCAGGGAGAAGGGCGTCCAGGTTATAGACTTGGGCGTGGCTTTGGCTGTAGTTCCACAAGTTTAGTGTGTCCCAGGTCCTATCTTCTTGGTCCCAGTAGCGCTTTCATGAGGATGTGATGAGTCAGTGTAGTGACACAGGGGTTTAAGCCACTGCCAGCAACAGCAGCATCCCATAGGGGCACCTGTTTATATCCTAGCTGCTCTACTTTCTGATCCAGCTCCCTGCTGGAGTGCCTGGGAAAGCAGTGGAAGATGGCCCAAGTGCTTGGGTTCCTGTACCATGCTGGAGACCAGATGGAGTTCCTGGCTCCTGGCTTTGGCCTGGTGTAGCCAGGCCATTTCAGCCATTTGGGGACTGAGCCCGTGGCTAGAAGATATGTCTCTCTTTCACATAAATCTTAAAAAAAAAAAAAAAAAGAGGATAGGGCATGTCTGTGACAGTCCTGGAGACAGGGTTGTGGGCAACACTGAGACCACAATCTGCAGTTTGAATACAGCCAAGCACTAGCTTTCTTTTTATTTGGTGACTGTGGCAGCTGGTTCTCAACATGCCAGTGCTAAGCCAACCTCAGGGAGCCCACACCAGAGCCTCAGTGCCAAGACAACCTCAGGGAGCCCACACCAGAGCCTCAAGCTTCTCAAGCACACAGGGAAAGGCTGGCAGTCCGCATGGGGCTGAAGCGGCGTTCCCAGCCAAGGGCACAGCACAGGGCACTGAGGCCTCAGGAATGCACCATGACGAGGGCCCAGCTCCCTCCCTCCTGCAAGGCTGGCTCCGCAGCAGGCAAGCTCAGGGGTGCGGAGGGGAGGAAGTCAGTCAGAACCAGAACACAGGAGGCCATGGAAAGTGTGCACAGGCCAGGAACGGCCATCATACAAGGCGGAGAATTCCTTCCATGAAATGCTTGGGAGCAAAAGCACTGGACTGGGGAATATTTTCATTTTCTAAATGAGATCTAATGTGATATCCTGGGGACAGGGCCCAAGTCTAAACAGAAAATTTCTTTATATTCCAGACACATTTTACATACACAGTCTAAGTAATTGTATATATTTTTAAAATAATTTTGTGTATGAAACAGGCTCATGCTATGGAATGTGGTTGTGGGCTTCCGAGCATTTTGAGTTCTGGGTTAGAAATGCTTGTTCTATACCCAGGTTTGACAGGAAGGTGAATAAAGGTTAACGGTGGGAAAAAATGTTTGTGGTAAACTAAAATACTAAAGGCCTTATTCCAGCCTACTTTAATGTAATATTAATAAATTTAAAGGTTTCATTGTTTTAATATTTGAAATTTATTCTGGTTTCTGTTTACTGACACAAAACTACATTGACATGGCATTTATAGAAGCTCAGGGAAACATGTGCCAAAAAGTAATTATCACAATAAGCTTTAAGAAAATGAATACAGCTGTTACAAAAACTAAAAATATAAAACACTGCAGAAAAGTGGCAATCTATTAATTGGGTAGACAAAAAGAAGGGAACCCACTGCAATGATCAGTCATTTATTTAGCAAAGTCGTCTTAGGAATCAGAGGAGGAGATACCAAAGCCGGAGGGGCTGGCTCTGCTGGCAGCTTCCAATCCCAGACACCTCAGACCAAACCTGTCACAGAAGTTTCCTGGTTGGAAATGGGTGGTACATTCAGATTGGACAGTGGAGCTGGGCTGATAGCCATGTTTGCCTCTGGATGTTATATGGAACCTGAAAATAATCCAGGATTCTTAAGCAAGGCAAAGCTAGAGTCAGTCAGCGTTCCTGTCGAGGGTTTTCAGAAAACAGCCGGGCAGAGGCAGTGTGATGTAGGGTACACACTCCTCTATGTGCAAATGGTTCACAGCACGTGTGCAAGTTGCTCCAGCTTTCACTGCACATGCCACACTATCATGACCATGTGGCAACAGACTGGAGGAGAAAAGTGCACATTGCCACTAGGGGAATTTGAAAGGTACAGAATTCTACCTCCCACCAATCGGGGGATGGGCCGTGGGGAGGGGAGACAGGAGAGTACCAGAGAAAATACAGTGAGCTGTCAAGTCGTGCTGAGCTCTCATGGCTCTTCCAGAAGGACTGGCCTTTCTCTCCCAACTCAGAGCCCAGAAGTGAGTAATTCTACCCAGTGCCTGTAGCAGGCAAGAAAGCGAGCTCCTCTGTTACCAGCCTTGACAGAAGCAAAGCTTCCTCCCAGCGGAAATCACACTTCAGTGGAAAGCTGGGGGCAGGAAGGGAAGCTCACAGCTGTCCACGACGTGGCTCCACGCCCTTCCTCCCTTCCCCACCCCGCGCCTGCAGAGATGCCGCAGCTCACCTCATCCGCACCATCTCAAGGAAAGCGTGCTTCCGAGACTGTTCCTTTCAGAAAGGACCATGCCAAAAGTGAGTTTTCCTTTGGTCTGCTCCGTTTCCTTCAGTGCCCTTCTGAAGACAACCTTCCACTGTACTTTTTCTGCCCAAGTGGTGGTGTGCTGAGCAAAAGTTGAGCATTAGCTCAGGACAGTATGTGGACATCTGCTGGCTGCCAACTCTTAGTTCGTGAAACCAAGCTTTCTTCCCGTTTCCCCTAAGAGCAAATCCCAGCAGGTATAAGGTCACGGCAACCGGCAACCCTCATTTGTGTCACATCCAGATAGCAAGAAGAAAAATCCCCTGCTCTCAGTTCCTTCACTTTGCTAGCATTTTTACCACTAAAAAAAGAGAGAGCTGCTTTACAAGTAATTCTGAGTCCCCAAGGAATGTCACTGTGCTTGGCAGATACAAAGATGGTGCCACGGGCTGTCCCTCAGGAGCATAATTGTTTAGACCAGAAAAACATTAAATATTGGTTGCTCTGGGCTCTCAGTTCTTTACTGAGGTGCAGGCCTAGTTTGCCAGATGTATTCTTCATTAAACATGGCTAGCATGCTCACTGCTTACAAAAAAAAAGGATCAGTTGTATTTGCTAGAGTTCCAAGATGAGCAAGTGGCATTACCAAGAGCCATCAGGAAAGAACAGAAAGGGCCTCACCGGGAGGGGCAGTTAGGAAGGTCCATGGGAAAACTTGCACTGGCCCCTGCAGAAATAGGTAGATTTGGGGAAAGCAAGAGAAAGAGAAGCAGCGAGAAGCAGAGCTGAGACCTATCCAGGGGCAGCTGGGAAACGGAGACTGCAGCCCGGAGAAGGCCCAGAGGCGGGAAGGGTGCTGGCTGGGAGGCGCAGGCAGGCAGCGGCTGAGTGCAGAGTGGCAAGTACCGGTCCACATGCCTACTCTCTAAGCCAAGCCTCAGACCAGGGCCAACATTCTGGAAAGAACAGTCCTTCTAAGATCAGGATTCTCTCTGCCATGAGACACAGGAGCATGAAGAACAGATCACTTCTGAGGAGATGGTCAGAGGCCCCTCTACCCCACCAGGATAGGGCAAGGCACAGAATACTGTGTCAGACCTCGAGAAAAGTTGCATTTTGATCTGGATGACCAACAGTGTCTAATCCTACCAAGGCCAAGACTGAGTCCTTGGATTTGGTGACCAAAACATTGGTAACCTGGCTAAACACAGTGGAAAGACAGGGACCAAAGTGAGCCAGGAATTCTGAGAGTGTCTGGCAAGGTAAGGCAAACAACACTTCCTGGAGAAGTTAAACAGCAGAATGAGAGACAGCAGATGATAGCAGGGGAGCCCTGGGGGTGCAGGAAACAAAGTGCGTAAAGACAGAAACAGCAGCTGGGCCAAAGGAGCAAAGGGAAAGACAAAGACGGAGCCAACTCACCACGTCTTGAGGGACACCACGGGAGCCCGACAGGATGCCTCGGGCTGGGGTGAGTCTTACAAGACTGGCATACAGGCAGATAAACATGCCATCAAGCACACTATCTGCCATGCCAGCTTTAAGTTGCAGGAACATGTGCCAGCCAGGATGACCCCTCCTCAGACCTCCTTCCTTCACAGCACAGCATCACACTTTCCTCACCGCTCCACACACTGCCGTTCCACGAGATGAGCCGAGAAACATCTCTCTCTGGACTCTGCTTTATAGGCCAGCCTTAAAATAAAACTACAAAGAACAGTGTCATCCCTGGGTGACCTATGAGATCTCTTAAATTGTAAAATAGTCTCTAACATGGAATGAAGGAGGATTTTTTTTTATTAATTACCCTTGGCATCTCATATCAGATCTAAAGATCATTAAGATTAAGGGGAAATGATCATAGACTCCAGCTGGCAGTTAAATGTCTCTTTTGCCCATCGGAGGCAACAAGGGGCAAAATGCAGCTGGGATGCCCTCTGGAAAACCACTGACCCTAACTGAAACCCTCTCACAGCTTGCCTCGTTTCAAAGAGCTCCTAATGAGCACGGCCACAGGAATCAATAATCATAACCACACTTGCAAACAATGTGAGCAGCGGCTTTACTTTCAGAAACTGAGGTTCAGTTTTACACTCAGTAAAGTGGGAGTTGATTCACTCTGTCGCAAGGAATATAAAATGCAAGAAAAACATGAAGAACGTAGGCTCAGTGGGTTAGCGTGTTTTTAGCCTGCTGTTTTGGTTCGCTGCTGAAGCCTCTGGAAGAACGATGCGGCTGACGGAGGCAGCCTTCCGCCCATCAGCACCTCACCATCTCTCTTTTTTTTTCCTTTTCTGGGGTATGTCCTCCCAAGTAAGAGACCTCAGTGGAAAAGCTCCTCCACCTGTAGACTCCTCCTAGGTGGGGAGGGCAATGCCACGGTCAAGGGCTTCCTTTATCACGAAGTCAAGGCCAAGGAGGATGGTCAGCAGCACTGCCTGCCCAGGCACGAGGTCTCCCTCTGGTCACAGTCATGCTTCTACATGACCCCTCCGCTCACACTCAAGAGGGAAGGAGATACCAGCATAAATAAAGGGGGCACAGGAGAACAGCATCACCAAAGTACAAGTGCCAAACTCCAATCAACCCCCCCCTCCACTGTTGCCAGCCCAGAGTCGCCACCAAGCCCCAGAGGACGATGTCTCCGAGGTCACAGGACTTTTCTCTTCATTTCTTTCTTTCTTTTTTTTTTTTTAAGATTCATTTTATTTTTATTACAAAATCAGATCAGAGAGGAGAGATAGAGAGGAAGATCTTGGCCAGTCTGTGCTGATCCAGAATCAAGAGCCAGGAGCTTCCTCCAGGTTTCCCTGCTTTCCCAGGCTACAAGCAGGAAGCTGGACGGCAAGTGCAGCTGCCGGGACCAGAACCGGCACCCACACGGGATCCCGGCACGTTCAAGGAGAGGACTTTTAGCCATTAGGCCACGCCGCCAGGCCCTCTCTTCATTTCTTGATTTGGAAACAAATCAGCAGGGAGGACAAGGTTCTCGCAGACCAGTCAGAGCTGAAACGAGAGACAGCATCCACTGGTACCACGTACCCCTTCTCAGGGGGACTCACCATACTCTGGCAATTTGGGAAAGAGGGAAGACATGACAGGAACTGGAGTTCAGGGGGAAATTTCAGAATTAAGACAAACTGATCCACTGCAATACAAACAGCAATCAATTAAAACAAAAGAAGATGATCTGTAAAGTCATTTTGATATAGGAAGACTGACACTTGACAGAGGGGTTATGGGAATCCTGGCCTCTGCAATGCACTCTACTGTACTGTTCTGACTGCATGTGGATTTTTTTTCCCCTAACTGAAAATCAGGGAAGAAAAAAGGCCTTAAAATCTATTATCAGAGGGGAAGCAGCAAGCCAGAGCCAACTGTGAAGCTTACCGTTAATTAAGTAAAAGCTAGCCAGGGGTAGTTAGTAAAGATACCCTGAGCTGAGTGGCTTATTCCATAGCCACTGTGAGCTGTGCAAGTCAACAGTGTCCCCTGCAGGCAGGCTGGGAAGGATTTTTAGCTAGGCCACCCCAACTGGTCTTGGCCAATGTCCTCCTTGTTGCTCAACAGAAGGGAAAAGTGAGTAAGCACAAGTAGAAACGTGGGTGCTGGGGCTGGTGGGGACACTCTTCCTGCTCCAACAGTTATACTTCTGGGAGAATCTGGCTCAGCTCCTGCCGCTGTGGGGTGGCAAGTGCATGGACTGGCTGCACTTGAAGGTTGGGCCCACTGCGTGAACACAGGGCTGATCTGGGGACCTGCAGGCCTGTGTGCTTCTGGGCTGATGTGTATCCAGGGAGTGCAGTTCTAGCCGCATCTGGCATCACTGGGGAATGGACATGTAGGAATGGGCTCCATCGCATACTTGGCGAGCCAGAGTTGGCTTTTATCATGATTGCCAAGGCAAGGGTCAGATGTCAGGTGAAGTTTCTGAAGCACTGGTGTGATGCACAAGCTCAGGCCCAGGGTCTCGGATGATGCTATCAGGCCCCGACTTGGCTGTCAACTTACAGCGGAACTTCAGGAAGATCACTCAGGCCCTGAACCGGCCTGTCCCCGCATTCCATTACTGTGGAGTACTTCTAGTTTTGGCATTGTAGGTGAGGTCCTTGGCACCAGCACCCTCAGAGATGGCTGCTCCTGTCACCCCACATTCAGGTGCATTGCCAGATCCATCTGACCCCGCACTTCCCTCCCACGGGTCCGCCTCCTTCCTTACCTTCAGGTCCAAGCGCTGGTAATCGCCGGCCTTGGGCCGCCGAGTGACTTTGGATCTTTTTCCTTCCAGGACAAAAGCAATAATCTGAGGAAAGGAAGAAAGAAATAAATAGGTGGTTCAGTTATGACATAGTTCAATCTCTACAATCATCACCCATTTGTTAGGACTGTAGAAAGCACAGTTCGCCCAAAGAGGCCTATTCAAGTCACCAGGATTTTAACAAGGAGAGGGCCCATCACATTAGAATCTCTTACAGTACTTTTACAGGAGATGACAGGTGGAGGGAGGATGTTCTGAGCTCCAACGTGTGCCCATCTGAAGGATGTATTCAGGAATACTCAATTGGGGGCAGGCAGCAGCCTGGCAGGTGCCAGGCTGGATGCCCTCACTCCCCGTTAAGAGTATCCGGTATGAATCTGGGCTCCAACTTGTGGCTCCAGATCCCTGTTAAGACACACCCTGGGAGGCAGTGGCTCCCTGCTGCCCATGTGGAAGAGCTGGAACAAGTTCCAGCTCCTGATATCAGCCTGGCCCAGTCCTGACCAGTGAGGGCATTTGGGGAGTGAATCAGGAGATGGGAGCCCTCTCTGGCTCTCAAATACGTTAAAAAAAAAGGGGGGGGGGTGTGGCATGATGGCTTAGTGGCTAAATTCTTGCCTTGCATGTGCTGGAATCCCATGTTGGTGCCAGTTCATGTCTTAGTTGCTCCACTTCCCATCCAGCTCCCTGCTTGTGGCCTGGGAAAGCAGTGGATGACCCAAAGCCTTGGGACCCTGCACCCATGTGAGAGACACAAAAGCAGCTCCTGGCTCCTGACTTCAGACTGGTTTAGCTCTGGCCATTGCAGCCACTTGGGGAGTGAACCAGCAGATGGGAGATCTTTCTCTCTTGTCCCTCCTTCTCTCTGTAAACCTGACTGTCCAACAGATCTTCCATCTGCTGGTTCACTCCCCAAGTGGCTGCAATGGCCAACTGCTTCCCCAGGCCACAAGCCAGGAGCTGGATGGGAAGCAGAGCTGCCAAAATATAAACCAGCACCCAAATGGGATCCCACTAGGCTACTGCACCAAACCCAAAAATAAATAAATCTTTAAATTACTCAAAGATCTGCCAATTTTTCCCCAGAGCTCTGGGACACTCCCTTTTAAAACATCATAATCAATAATTATTTCTTAGCTACAAAGTATCCTTTTGGCCCATGCTTTGCTTCATCCAGAACTACATTCACTTTTTAATCACTCCCATTTTGCTTCTGAGGTTATTACTCTGCACGGCAAACACTTGGAAATAGAAAAATAAATGCACATTTTTACTATAATGTTTTTTCCTCATTCTTTGTAAATATTTGCTCTTTATTTTATTATTACATTTTAAGAAACAGAAACAGTTCTCCCTGTGCCTGTCCACTCTGCAGATGCCCACAATGGCCAGCACTGGGCAGGCAGAAGCAAGGAACCCGGAACTCCATCTGCGTCTCCCACACGGGTGGCAGGGACCCAAGGGATTCATCAGCCGCTACCTTCCAGGGTGCACATCAGCAGGAAAACTGAGTGAAAGCAGAGCTGGGCCTTGAACCTGGGCACTGGGACACGGCACACAGTGTCCCGGGGGGACTCTGAACAGCTGTGTAAAACATCTGCCCCACTGAGGGCCTTAGGATCAAATGGAACTAAATGCTCCCTTTTTAACCAGACTACTGAAGCTGGCTTCCAAATTCTTAGGATCTAACAGGAAATGCGGTAATTTTGTCCTTGGGATTGGTTGCTAAGGGTCACACAATATCACTTTCATGCCAAACCCTAACAAAAGAAAAGCTGTGTGGTCCTGTGGAATTTCTGGCTTTTCTTCTCCCTGTTGTTAATATCAAAGCCACTGTGACTGAAGTCGGTCCTTCTGCCCTTGGAGATGGAAGGTAGGAGCTCAGGGAAGGGAGTGTGGCTCTGCTGCTCAGAGGCTGCGAAGGACCCAAGCCAGGATCCCCGGTGGAGATTTCCCCCATCAGAGCAGCGCCTAATCCTGAACCTACCTCGACAGCCAACGCACGCGGGAGGAAACGGACAACAGGAAGAAGACGTGTAATTTACGAGATCAGTCAAGAGCCCTTACGGAGTCGTGAGCAAGAGCTGAAATTTGTCTGAAACAAATCTCCTGTGCTCACGGCCCCCAGCACAGGGGAGAGGAGAGCCCACCCTCTGCCCCGGGGAAGGGTCCCGCACCTTGCGCTTGTTGTGATAGGCGATGTAGAGCACGGCCACCAGAATGGCTGCGGTCACCAGGTAGGCGAAGAAGTGGCTGCTCTCGGCGCTCGCACTGACGGCAGTGTTCGGGAAGACCTCCTCCACCTCCCTGTTCCCGGGTTCCAGCAGCGAGCCGTCGCGGGGCTCCCCGAAGGCAGGGCCCTGCACCTTCTCCTTCTCCTCCTGCAGCGGGGAGTCGTCCTCCTGCAGCAGTTCCGCGTCCTGGGCCCTGGCCTCCCCCTCCTCATCATCGTCGCCGTCGTTGTCCTCTAAAATCTTCTCTTCCCCCTGCTGCTCGGCTTGGGATGCAGGCTGCGGGGTCGTGGCTTGCTCAGCCTGGGGACCGCTGGTCCTGGGAGCAGGGATCGAGGTGGGGTGGTTTCTTGCAGCTGCGGTCGTTTTCGTCGTGGGCTGCTGTGACACCGAGGTGTTGGCATTCTGCGGGGGCGCTTTTGGGACGCTCAGCTGTGAGCTGACGTTGGCAGCAGTTCTTGTGTTCGCCAAGGACTGTGCCATGACCTGGGAGGCTGTCTCCGTGTTGTTAGAATCCGTGCTGTTAGAACTCGTGGCCGGTTCATTCTGGGTCTGATTATCGAGGTGAGCAGCGTCTGCGGGCTTGTCGTTGGCATTAGGTGTCTTTACCCCCGACCCTGCAGCCGAGTTCTGCGTAATCGAGCTGGTGTCCCCGGACAATCCTTCTATAGGAGAGTTTGCTGCATTCTCACCCGCAGATCCTGAAAGAAGAGAAATCAGGCTCCGACCACCCAGTTCGGGGGGCAACAGACGCCTCCGAACTGGAAGTGAGGAGAGCCCAGAAAGCGGGCTGGCGGGTGGACGGTGGCGAGCGCCCGGAGCGGGAGAGCGGGGACAAGCGAGCCCAGACCGCGCAGGGCCGCGGGGTCCCGGGGAGCGCGGGTGCACCGGGCGGGAAGAAGGGGGTCTTACCGGCCACTGCGACGCCCAGCAAGACCAGCACGACCAGGAACCGCATCCTGCACGCACCGTCCTTCCGCTTTCTGCCGCTCTCGCGAGAGCCGCGCTCGGGGCGCTCTCCCCGGAGCCACGCCTCTCCCTGCGCGCGCCTCGGGGCGGCCTCGGGGGCGTCGGCGGTGTCGGAGGGGCAGGCCCGCGCTGCTGCTCCTGGGCACTGTCCCCGTGGCAGCCACGACGGGGCTGCCACGCTTATTTGCTTCTCTTCCCCTCGTGTGAAGTCGCCAAGGCCCGCACCTGTTCCCCCTGGCTTTCCGGTGCGTCCGCAGTATGAGGATGCACTGGTCTTAACCTCTCTGGAAAGAAATCCACCCCATCCATCACCTGCGTCCCAAGACGCCCAAGCAAACGAGTGTGTTATTTCCCCCATCATAAGATTGTACAAGTAGAAAATAAAACCTTAGTCCCACCCTTCCGGAGTAATCTGTTTATAAGTTTGCCCTGCAAATATGCAATGTTTTTAATTAGGCAATACTAAAACATTCTTTGTTTAATTCAAAATGTTTATTTGAAAGACAGAGAAAGATCTTATAGCCACTGGTTCACTCCCCAAATACTATGCCAGCCAGGGTTAAGACAGGCTGGACAGGACACCAGGAACAGGCCACAACTCCCACTGGCTGACAGGGTCCCAAGGACACAGTCCACTTACTACCTCCAGGGTGCAAATTAGCAGGCAGCTGGACTTGGAAGCTGACCAGGGGCCTGCGCTGGGACACTCCAATAAGGGATGAACTGACAAGTGATAGTAAACACCAAATGTGTGGCCTAGTAATTGTACACTCTAATGACTGAAAAATCAAAACATGATTTTAAAAGAAAAATACATAAGAAATTCTTCATATAAATATGTGTGTGTGTGTGTGTGTGTTTACCTGAAAGAGTTACAGAAAGATGGAGAGAGATCTTCCATCTGCTGGTTCGCTCTCCAGATGGCCACAAAGGCCCGGGCTGGGCTGGTTAGAAGCCAGGAACCTGGAGTTTCTTCCCGTCTCTCCTATGGGCGCAGGGGCTTGTGGCTTTGGGCCATCCTCCGTGCTTTCCCAGGTGCCTTCGCAGGGAACAAGACCTGAAGTGGAGCACTTGCCAGAGGTGGCAGCTTAACCCACTGTGTCACAACACCAGCACCCTGCAGACAGCAATTTTTTTTTAAAATATTTGGCTTCTAACTTTATGGAGCATGTGTTTTAGTGGGCATATGAATATTAAATTGTGTATGTGTGTATGAAATATACAGAAACTAGGGCCTGGCAGTGTGGCCTACTGGCTAAAGTCCTCGCCTTGAACGCGCCAGGATCCCATATGGGCTCCAGTTCTAATCCCGGCAGCTCCACTTCCCATCCAGCTCCCTGCCTGTGGCCTGGGAAAGCAGTGGAGGACGACCCAAAGTCTTGGGACCCTGCACCTAGCGGGGGAGACCCAGAAGAGGCTCTGGGCCCCTGGCTTCAGATCTACTGAGCTCTGGTTGTTGTTGTGGCCTTTTGGGGAGTGTATCAGAGGATGGAAGACCTTCTTTCTATCTCTCCTTCTCTTTGTAAAATCTGCCTTTTCAATATAAAAATGAACAAACAAAAAAACCCCATGGCAAAGAAAAAACCCTCTCACACACACACTCATTACTGATGTAAGACTGTAATTGAAAAAAGAAATCTTGATGCGAATTGCTCCGGAACCGGACTCTGCTTTGACTAAAGGAAGTGAATTGTTAAACACAAAAGAAAATTTTCTCTACTTCCTCAAAATACATGTTTGACTAACATTTAAGGATGTTGGTTTAGTGAGGGTGTGTGGGAGGGGGTGGGAGAAGGAGAATGGCAAATTATTAAGCCTGACCTGGTGTCCACATCACAAGGTAGGAGAAAGGAATCCAGGACTGTGCGCCACGCCCAGGGTTTTGTATTCTATCTTAACAGTAATGGGAAGCTTGCCAAAGGGCTTAAGTAGGAGAAACATCTAACCGGAGTTGGGGATTTTTTGAATAACTACTCTGGGAAGGAAAAGCAGATGTGAAAGTTCATTAATTAGACCATTGCACTTGACCAAGTCTTTCTAGTGTCGGGACAGTGAGATGGGAGGGAAGTGACTGGATGTGAAGATGGTGTTGTGGCACTGTGGGTTAGGCCACCATCTGTAATGCATTCATCCCATATGGGCACCAACTGAGAAGACGGAAAATCCCTCTCTCCGTAACTGTGACTTTATAATAAATATGTAGATATTCTGGAGAATATTTAGGTAATAGAAGTATTCAGGAGGAATCAACACAGATGACCTCTTAAATACTCTGTAGAAATCAAAAGGATTTTGAAAAAATAGATCATACAGCCATTTAAAAAATATTTATGTATAATAGTTGTGAAGATAGAGGGAGACACAAAGAGAGAGAGACAGACAGAGAGACAGACAGAGCTGCTGGTTTACTCTCCAGATGGCTGCTCGGGCCAAGGCTGGGCAAGCTGGAACCAGGAGCCTGGAGCTTCAGTCAAACCGCCCAAGCTTTTGCACGGCCTCTGGTTCTCTCCCAGGTGCATTAGCAGGGAACTGGGGCAGAAATAGAGCAGCTGAGACTTGAACTGGCGCCCATAGGAGATGTGGCACTGCAGGGAGTAACTTAACGTGCAATTTATGCCAGAGTCAGTCTGAGGATTTCGAGCCAGGAGCATGTGCATTTCCTGTAGGTTTCGTAGCAGTCATTACAGCCCAAGCAGCGTAATACCTATGCACTTGTCACTGTAAAAGTGAAGAATTTTAGGTCCAGTGAGGTAGCTAGCAGCTAAAGTCCTCAGCTTGCATGTGCCGAGATCCCATATGGGCACTGGTTCTAATCCCGTTGGTCCTACTTCCCATCCAGCTCCCTGCTCTTGGCCTGGGAAAGCAGTCACAGACGGCCCAAAGCCTTGGGACCCTGCAACCCGTGTGGGAGACCCGGAAGAGGCTCCAGGCCCCTGGCTTCGGATCGGCTCAGCTCAGGCCGTTGGGGACAACTGGGGAGTGAATCAATTGACGGAAGCTCTTCCTCTCTGACTCTTCTCCTCTCTATATATCTGATTTTCCAATAAAGATAAAATAAATCTTAAAAAAATGAAGGATTTCTCAGAGAACTGCTTGAGATCTTGTTAATCATTTCTCCCCAAAAGAAAAAAGACAACAATATGCACATGAAAATGTACCTAGTGTCATGAGGATTAGGGAATGCAAACCACCATCACGATGAGGTGTCTGTCTGTGCTCTCAAGGATGGCTACAACAAAGAACAGTGCTGAGGAGGATGAGGGGGAATTGAAACCCTCACACAGTGCTGTCAGGAAAGTAAAACGATGCAACTGCTGTGAAAAAGAATTCAACATAAGGGTAGGTGTTGTGGTGCTGTGGGTTAAGCTACAGTTTGCAACGCTGGCGTCCCCGATTAGAATACCTAGCGTGAGTCCTAGCTATTCTATTTTTAAATTCAGCTTCCTGCTGTTACACCTGGAACTCAGCAGGTTTACTCATTTGGGAGATCCATATGGAGTTCCTGGCTCCTGGCTTCAGCCTGGCCCAGTCTAGCCTGTTACAGGGTGTGGGGAGTGAACTAGTAGATGGAAGATCTGTCTCTTTCTGTCCCTCTGAGTGTCACTTTGCCTCTTAAACCGATCTCTTTTTAAAAGAAGACATTAATCACAGAGTTGCTGTGTAACCCAGCCAGTCCACGCCCAGTTATATACTCCAAGGAACTGAAAACAGGGACTCCAATGTCACACCTGTACGTGACTGTTCATGGTTGCCTCATTACAATAATGAAAAAGGTGGAAATCACACCTGTAACAACAAACAAAAATGTGTTTTGGACACTTTGGACACCCGAAGTGAATTCTTACACCTTGACATGCTTTTGACACCCATGTTGAACGCGCATTCAGTTTCCTCATGTGAGAACCAAGGCTGTCGTCCTTGTCTGGTCTCGAGTCCTCCACCTTGTCCCAGTTCCTCAGTGCCAGCTGACTCGTACAGCCACCTAACTACGGGACAAAAGCAAACAGGCCAAAGTTCAGGCAATAGAAACTTTAATGGCTCCTGAGCCCAGGTGGTCATGGTCTGGCTTAGGGGTGATTAAGGATTGCCCAGCATCTACTGTGGGGACCACTGTTCCATCACAGTGGGCACTTGCTGGTGCTGAACCCACCAACTACAACTCCCTGCAGGAGACCTGCTCAGGGAATGTCCTGAACCCCAAGAAAGGCTTAGGAGCATAGGACTGTCTCTTACTGCCTGCCCACTGGTCCTGTGTAGGTGCCCCTGCCAGCCTGCCTGGTCCTCGTGAGCAGGTGGGCATGCAGCTCTCTTCTGTGTAAGCCCTACAGCTTTTGGTGTTTCACCTGTTCTGGTCCTCACCTGACCCACACCTGAGCCCTTCCTCTTTCCTCATTAGGGCTCTAAAGGAGTGGTTATCTAGTTGCAAAAAGCTAGATAGAGGTCAGATTGCGTCTCAACCTTTTGGTTATGATCAAGTGTAGACAGAGGTCAGATAAAACGACAAGGGCAGCTGCCAGTACAAACAAGTTTCCTGTGAGGACATCCGGTCACCCTGGGGGTGCTGAAGCCATGTGATGGGATGCATTGTGGGGAGGGCATGCCATTGCTGCAAACATTCCCGATGCAGTCCGCCGGAGCGTCAGCAGGAGCAGAGGGAGGGCTTGTAGCCCCTCTGCGGACGGAGTGCGAATTCACAAAACGTACAACTCTTGTGTTGAGCAACAAGGTATTGTGCCATGAATGATAGTGCATGCTGTAATGTGGAAGAACCCTAAAACATGCTCAGTGAAACAGCCGGGCACAAAGGTCAAACTGTGTTGAACCACTAACATGAGGTGCCTAGCACTGGCGGTCCCAGAGACTGGGGGATGGGAAGTTACTATCTAATACGCATTGCTTCTTCTCTTTTCTTTTCTCTTCCTTCCTTCCTCTTTTCCTCCCCTCCTTTTCTTTTTGTTAAAAAAAATTTACTTATTTATGTATTTGCTATTTTTAAAAATTTTATTTTTAATTTTTATTGGAAAGTCAGATATACAGAAAGAGGAAGATGCTCCATCTGTTGATTCACTCCCCAAGTGGCTGCAACAGCTGGAACTGAGCGTATCCAAAGCCAGGGCCTGGAGCCTCTTTTGGGTCTCCCATGTGGGTACAGGGTCCCAAGACTTGGGGCTGTCCTCAACCACTTTCCCAGGCCACAAGCAGGGAGCAGGATGGGAAGCAGGGCCTGCTGGGATTAGAACTGGCATCCATATGGGATCTTGGTGCCTGCAAGCTGAGGACTTTAGCCACTAGGCTACCGTGCGAGGCCCTTCCTCCCCCCACCCTCCACCCCCATTTTTAAAGACAGAATTACTTTTATTCAAAAGGTGGGGGGAGAGAGTCTTTCATCTGTTGGTTTATTCCCCACATGGCATAAACAGACAGAGCTGAACTGATCCAAAGCCAGGATTCTTCCAGGTTTCTGATGAGGGTGCAAGTGCCCCCGAACTTGGGCCATCTTCTGCTGTATTCCCAGGCTATAAGCAGAGAGCTGGATTAGAAGCAGAGGAGCCAGACAGCTAGGGCTGGTTCAGGCTAAAGCCAGGAGGCTGGAATTCCATCCAGACAGGGGGAAAGCCGCTGGGCCATTCCCTGCTGCATTCCCAAGCAGGTGTTTTAGCAGGAGCTTAACTTGGCATAGGCACATCTTCTTTTCCCTTCCATAAGGGGCCTTGCTATGGAGAAGGTGGCTTTGACATATCAAAAGCACAAAAGAAACTTCCAGAAGAGATCTTGCCACTGCAGTTTTATTTTGTGAAAATAACCAACTGGGGGTTTAAATTGCTCCAAAAAACCATAAAAATAAAACGAAATACACATGGAAGAAGCATGTGAGGTGAGGGGCCAGGGAGGAGGGTCCTTAGAGCTTTGGCAGATTGTGCTAGCACTGACCCGGGTGACAGGAACCGGGCCCTGGAGCCAGGGCCTGCCTGCCACGCAGGGACTGTGAGGGGCGGATCTTGACAGGTAAGGAAAAGGGCAGGGCGGGGTGGACACAGACTTCTTCACTGAGGAAGTGGCAGGCACGTTAGGTCCCTTTAAATGTGGTGGGGACTGGGGGGCCGGTTCAGAGGACCTCTCTCCCCACCGAAAGTTGGGGGCTGGTGGGCTGGGGGCCCACCAAGGGAGCAGGGATGCTGGTGGACATGAACCAGGCCGTGATGTCTTCTCACAAGGTGACGGCCTCACACTGGGCAGAGGACAAGAAAAGATATGGCAGAGAGGCGCCTGGTGCTGGGGAAATGTCCAGGCAGGAAATCAGGAAGAGATGCCAGGTTAGAAACCGCAGCGTCGGCCAAGGTGCTCACGGAGGTGGGGGAGAGGAAGAGGAGGGCGGGGGGAAGAGAAGGAGGTAGAGAGGAGGGGTCTTCTGCCCAGGCCCATCCACCACTGCACCCACGGGAAGAGTAATGCACTACTTCTCAGTTCTCTCGCTCGTAACAATTTTTTTTTGTTGTTTTGTTTTGTTTTTTAAAAAAGCCTTGAGATTCAGCTACTGGTTACATCTACAAAGTGCAAAGTGCTGCTGTTACCAGCCACTTTGCACAACAGTCCAGGGTGGTCAAATATTGACCAATAAAGTTTCCTTTTTTTTTTCTTCTGAATCATTACTACTCGATGAGTCACTTGACAGCCTGCATAGGTCAGGTCAGGAGTCAGGGTAGGGGACAGCTTTAATGGGCAGACTTGGTGACCAAGGAGAGAGGCTGGGCCTGGAGCACGGGCAGGGTCTGGTGGGCATGGAGTGTGGCCGGGAAGGACGGGGGAGAGGTCAGCAGAGTGGTGGGCACAGACCCTAGGGGAAGGGGCCGGGACAGGAGGGGAGGCTGGCTGCCCATCGGGCCCGAGGAGGTGGCTGCGGCCTTGGCCGACAGGAAGGCAGCCGAGTGCAGGGCCAGCTGGGCCCGGGTCTCCGGCTTGGTGGTGAGGGACAGGGGCTGTGCCTGCTCGGAGTGGGTGGCAGCAGGGGCGGCTGGGGAGGCCAGGGCTGCCGAGGGGGTGGCAGGGGAGTCCAACATGCTGCCGTGGGAGGAGGCTGGGCTGTCACAGGGCTTCTCTGGGGGCAGGTACTGGACACATGGCTTCTTGCTCTTGGAGGCCAGGGCACCTGGGAGGGAAATGTACAGGACAGGGTGTGAGAGGCAGGGGAGGGGTGGAAGTAGAGGTACACACACGTCCAGCGGGCCCTGCATGCACAGGTTCCATGTGCAAGAACCCAACCAACCAAACACAAGTGTTTGCAACAAGTCAAAACACCCACCGCATTTCATCTGAACATGTGCATGCTTTTCCTAGTCGTTACTGCCTAAAGCACGTACTGACTCTCTCCACAAGGTGTCATGCTAGGGATCACCAGTCACCCAAAGGTGCATAAAGTCTATAGGGAGATGGCAGTTCTACATAGATACTCTGGCATAACCACATCCTGCACAGATGCCCAGAGCGACTGTCTCTTAGAGATATCAGAATTCTTATGGGAAGGACTGAAAATTATTTCCATGTCCCTTTGGCTCCTAGGGAATCAAGGACTTGGAGAAGGAGCAAGGCCCCAAAACTGGCCAACCGGACAGCCCTTGGATGGCTGATGGGAGGGAAAGCAGCTCGATCGGTCACACCAACCATCATCTCCCTTTGCTAGATCAGCTCCACTTGGTCTGCTGTAAAACCTCTGGTGTGCGGTGCCTGAGGAGGGTAGCTCTTTCTGGAGCTCCCTAGCCATTCCAGGGAAGCCCAGACATAGCACACGGGCAGGGGGCAGCTGGGATGCCAGCAAGGGATGAAGCGGACGGGGCCCGTCGACTCACCCTCTGCCTCTTGGACTTGCTGCTGCTGCGTCTGGGCCTGAGACAGCTGCTTTTCTCGCTTCCTCTTCTTTTTCTTACCCTGGGAAACACAGCCAGAAGGAGAGTTCAACTGGCGTGAGAGGACAGCTACCCCTGTCCCTGCCAAGACCAGAGATGGGACAACGTCCCTACTGCTCCCCCACCCCAAGGAGGATGTCAGAGGGCGGGATTACACTCCACGAGGGACTGGGGGACCAGAAGGAGGCACATCGAGGGTGCCTCCCCACACCCCCCACTCCACAGCTATTTCCTCTCTCTCATGGCTGTCTAGGCGCTTCTGGCTGGTTTTTCCATTTCTCTCTTTAAAAAATAGATTCTTGATCTTTGAGGAGCCTCCTAGGGTCCTCGGAAATGCAGTTACAAATCCTCATACTGGGGAAAAAGCAAGCAAAGACATGTGCGTAGCAGCCTGCCTGGTTCAGTGTTTACAGTCACGCCGCCAGTCGTGCGGTCAGTGGCCTGGGAGCCGCAGGTCAGGAGCTTGTGGCGCTGGGGCGGTGCTGTGTCCCATGCTAGGGAACCAAAGGCAGGGTGCGGCTCACATGGGCAGAGCATCCCTGTTGGCTGCCTGAACTCACATGCCTGCGTGACTTCTAGACAAAGATGGACATCTTCCTGGCCTTAGGAGTCCTCCCTAAAGGCAGTGACTTGGGGCCAGCGTCGTATCACAGTACATGAAGCCACCACTCCTGATGCAAGTGTCCCGTAGTGGACAATGGTTCGAATTCTGGCTGCTCTGCTTTTGGTCTATCTGGGCTCCTGCTACCCACATGAGAGACTAGGATGGAGTCCCAACCTCCTGGCCCAAGCACTGCAGCCACTTGGAGGGTAACCAGTGAATGAGAAATCTCTCCTTTTTCTGTCACTCAGCCTTTCCAATAAATACAGTGACAATTAAAAAACAAAGAAAAACCTACACAGCTGCTTCCCCTGCCCCCCGCCCGGAGCAGGTGCTTACGTAGTTGTCCCGGGCCGACCAGGTCGGGTAGAGCTGGGAGTGAAGCTGCCGCTCCTTCCTGGCCAGCTCGTAGTACTTGGCTTGTTCTTCTCGAGATAAGTTGTGCCACTGAAGGAGAAGGGTGAGAGGTAGAGCCGTGAGGGCAGGGGGTGGTGAAGCCAGTCTTATTGTGGGGGGAGAAGGGGGCAGGTGCAGGCCTGACCTTCCGTCCCAGGATCTGGTTGATGGCCGCGCTCTCCTTCAGGGTACACTCGGCCACCACCTTGGCCCTCATCTCCTTCATATACAACATGAAGGCGTTCAGAGGCTTCTTCACATGCGGTTTCTTCTCCTCTTCCTTCTTCACGGTCACAGGGGACTTCCTGGGAAGGCATACGGCTGTGGGTCAGCAGGGCCAGTCGGCAGTCCCACTGGGCAAGTCCTGCCTCGCCCTGGGGCCGTCAGAGCATGGCAGGAGCTGAGGAGCTCAGAGACTAAGGGTTCCCTACCTGGTAATGCCCCTGCAGCGCTATCTCTTGCAGGTGCACTTGACAGTGGGGCCAAAAGCAGTGTGGAGGGTGTGGACGGTGTGGAGGGTCTTGGGCCTGAGCTGGCAGAGGGCTCAGCTATGTTTCTGAGGCCATGAGGCCTGGCTTTGGCTCTCCTGCTGTGTCCATGGTGAGCCAGGGGCCCAGGGCTCCTCCCTGCTCTGTTGTCTCTCCTGCATGGCCTCCCCAGAGCACACGCTCTCTCCTGGGATGCTCAGTGGCAAGTGTCCACAAGGCAGGGAGGTAGCAGCAGCTTGCAGGGATTCTCCCTCCATCCTGGAAAGCCCTCCTTGCTGAGACAGGTGATGCATGAGGAGGGCAGTCTGCCTAGTCCAAGGGGCCAATGCCGGAGGGGTCATGGCTGCCTTCCACCTAGCCCCCATCCCCAGCTGCTGCTCACTTACGCGCTCACCGCGGGGCTCAGGCTCGGGGCTGCTGGCTCCTGCTTGACGATGGGGGAGACGATGGCAGGGTGGGGGATCCCTGAGGTGGGCAGGCCGGGATGAGCGGGAGCCACCATGTGTGGGGAGAACCGACTGGAGACCAGGCTGTGTGCAGGAGGAAACAAATAACAAAACAGGTGCAGGCTGAGAAGCCGCGATCTGCTGTTCCGACCCCACACGTCCATACACAGGGCCTCTCCGTCTGGTGCTGGCAGCAAGGAAGAGGGAAAACCACAGAGGCAGGGGACTCCGGGTCCAGTGGGGGATCCTGCAGTATGTCCGCTTCTCCAGGTCACGAGAGGTGCAAGGGTCAGGCAGAGCTGGCCCTGGGGACCGAGCTCCCTTGGAACTGTCTCCTTGCCTGACATCAACTCAGGAGCATATTTTCGACCCATCCTAGCCTCAAGCATCCATGGAGGAGAAGCAAGGAGCCCAGTGCCTCCCCACTGACTGCCAGGGAAAGACTGCTTTGCCGGCAAGCACTCGCCGGACCCACAGCTCGAGGATCCAGCACTCACCTGGACATGGAGGCATTCATGGCGAGGGCGGGGTAAGGGTGCCGGAAGCCACCAGGAGGGAGTGAGTACATGGGCTGTCCTTGCCTGTTAGGGTCAGGGAGGCAAGGAGCCCTGAGTCAGCCCAGCAGGCACATGCCGGGAGGCCAAAGAGATGAGTTGGGAAAAGGAAGGTGGAGGGGTCAGGGGGCAGGAAGCAGGCAGAGAGAGCTGGGCAGGAGCAGGGAGGACAGGGTGCTAGGCCCAGGGCAACAAGGGCTGCGGTTCCTTACTGTGGGACGAGCCAGCCGAGGGGATGGGGGATCTGTCCGACAGCACCCGGGGACAGTGGGTAATACGGTGACAGCTCGGATGGGTGTGGGGGCCGGGGGATTCCTGCATCCAAAGAAAGAGAGGTGTCAGCCTGCCCCCTCTCCTGACCACAGTGCCTTAAGTACCCACATTAGGAGAGGAGGGGCCTTCCCTAAACCTCTCACGCTGAGCCTGGAAGGTCGCCCTCTCTCACTGGCAACAAACCCGGCTAGTCCAACAAGGATGCATACAGGGACACCTCCTCTGGCCATACAGATTCCATCCTCAGAGGCAGAAAATCCAAGATATGTGAAGACCCAGGCTACCATTCAGAACTTTCTAGAAACCTGGCCTATTCATGGAGGAATAACAGCCAGCTCAGCCTTACTACTCTGCAGCTCCACCAACAAGCCTGGCTCAACCGATGACTCTGTGGGAACACATCTGGTTCAGGGTGCAGGTGTTGGTTTAAGGAGGCACAGAGTGGCACCCCTGCTGAATTCCACATCATTCTCATGGTAACCCCACAGTGTGGAAGACACCACAAAGGTGTCATGACTGGGCAAGACCATGAGACTCCTGAGAGACAGAGGGATGGTTTGAACGTAGGGCCGATTGCATCTATCCCTTCCCTGTGTGCAGGCATGTCACTGCAGGCGACTCACCTGTCTTTGGATCAATATCTGGGGAGAGATGTGCAGGAGGGGAGCCGGGGGAGAAGTGGTCATTGCTGTAGGTGATGAGTGGGGTCAACGGGTGCATGTGATGCGGGTGCTGCACGACAGGAACTTTATTGGACTGCAAGACACAGAGAAAAAAAAAGATTAGGTATAGTTGCCGAGGAGACGGGGAAGGCCAGTCCATTGTTCCTCGCTGGCATGATGTGTGCCAGGTATTTTCCATGCATCATTCCAGCCGTTTCTTCAAATAGTCCTGGAGGAAGGCAGTGGACTATACAGCAGAGAAGGAAAAGCAAGCAACAGGTGCAGAAGACATCATGCCCATCACCCAACTTTCCTATCCATATCTCTGCCTCCACACACACCATGTGGTGCCTAAAGGCTTACAGGCTGCTGAGTGACACGCTGCGCTGTGTCATGTCAGTGTGGGAACGCTGAGTGTGTATCTACAAGACTGGCAGGTTCCAGCCTGAGGCTGGTCTGGAGCAATGGGGGAGAGGCCCCCATCACGTATCTGGGAATTGTTGTCATGGTCAGGCTTCACAGACCATGTCCAATGTCTTGCAGACTTAATTACTGCATTTCACTGACAACACCATCAAATGTAGGGAGTGCCATTATTACATGTAACTACCAAGAAGGAAAAAAATAATCAGCATGTCACAAATGATTTTTTTTTTAAAGCTCTATTTGTTTGGGACCAGTGTTGTGGTATAGGACGTAAAGCTGCCATCTGCGGGCCTGGCACAATTGCTCAGGAGCTAAATCCTCACCTAGCACCCACCAGGATCCCATATGGGAGCTGGTTTGTGCTCCTGTTACTCCACTTCCCGTCCAGCTGCCTGCTGGTGGCATGGGAAAACAGAAGAGGGTGGCCCAAAGCACTGGGACTCTGCACACACGTGGCAGGCCCAGAAGAAGCTCCTGGCACCAAAACTTTTCCAGACATATTAATTAGGTGAGAGTGTGATTGGTGGATCAGCAGCTTGGGACTTAAAGCAGCATGCCCATGTAGGATACTGGTAGCTTAATTTGCTGCGCTGCAATGCCAACACCCATGGTTATCTCCCAAATTCAGAAATGCTAAATGGGAATCACATGTATATTCTAGAATTGGTAGGCTGAATTAACTATATATATTTGAATATATATTTGAATGAATATATATAACTATAAATATACATATATATTTCATTTTTATTGGAAAGGCAGATCAAATATAGAGAAGGAGACAGAGGAAAGAAAGATCTTCCATTCGCTAGTTTGCTCCCCAATTGGCTGCAATGGCCAGAGCGGAGCCAATCCAAAGCTAGGGGCCAGGAGCTTCTTCCGGATCTCCCATAAGGGCACAGGGTTCCAAGGCTTTGGGCTATCCTCGACTGCTTTCCCAGGCTATAAGCAGGGCGCTGGATGGGAAGTGGAGCAGCCAGGACATAAACTAGCACCCATATGGGATCCAGGCACTTGCAAAGTAAGTATTCAGCCATTGAGCCATCATGCTGGGCTCAACTCTTTCTATTTATTTATTTATTTTATGTAATTCAGGTCCTCCAATTAACCAGGGATCCCATCATTGATGCCATCCCCACTGCTGCCTGGGCTTTACAATGGCAAAAAGGCAGGAGGAGGGAATAGAACTCAGGTACTCTGGTGTCATCACGAGCATCTTAAGGGCAAGATGCCCACCCTAACTCAAACCTAGCAAAGGAACTGTATCTACCCCCATGTGGGAGGCCAGGAAACAGCTTAGACAAATTAAACTACATAGTCTCAGACACAGGATACGCAACAGCAGAACTGGGCTTTCTTTTAGCTCCGCTAGGTTCAAGAAGCCAAGGTGTTTTCTCTTGTACTACCAGCCTCCCAAAGGCCTAATCAAAACTTTTCTATCACAAAGAAAAATGAGTTATGGGTGGCAAAGATACTGGTTAAAAGCAAGATTTACAGGCCTGGCATGATGGCTTGATGGCTGAATCCTCACTTTGCAAATGTTGAAATCCCCATGGGATTTGATTCATGTCACAGTTGCTTGGCTTCCCATCCAGCTCCCTGCTTGTGGCTTGGGAAAGCAGTGGAAGACGGCTCAAAGCTTTGGGACCCTGCACCTGCATAAGACACCCGGAAGAAGCTCCTGGCTCCCTGCTTCAGATCAGTCCAGCTCTGGCCATTGCAGTCATTTGGGGAGTGAACCAGCAGATGGTCCCCCACAAAATCTGATCTGCCTTTCCTACAGAAATGGATAAATCTTTAGGGGAAAAAAAAAAAAAGACTTAAAAATGATGATTTAGAGGTGGTCCAAGGGCTTGAACACCCATCAGCTGTCTTCCTGCTTGAATTTTTCACCCCACAGGGACCCTCTTGGTGCTCATAACGGAAGCCCAGGCCTAAGGTACTCAGGCTGACAATGGTTTGCTCCATCTTCAGTGTAGCTTGTACAGGCAGAAACCTGGCTGCCCATAACCACTAGGTGGTGCTGGCGCGCAGCTGGGCCCTGCTCTGGGCAATGGACCTCACCCTAGAGCCCCAACATTTGAAGTAGTGTAATAAATCAAAAGTTATTTTCTTACTGCTTTCACTCTTCACTTACTAGTTTTTGAAGGCAAGAGGATTAAAGATAATTTTAAAATCATATTTCTAAGAACCTGGTGCATCTAAATGATGCAATTAATTTTCCTGGAAACATGGATTAAGCAGTGATTTTTTAAAAATTAATTTATTTTTATTGGAAAGTCAGATATACAGAGAGGAGGAGAGACAAGAGAAAAAGATCTTCTGTCTGATGATTCACTCCCCAACTGACTGCAATGGCCAGTGCTGCATCAGTCTGAAGCCAGGAACCAGGAATTTCTGGATCTCCCTCGCAGGTGCAGGGTCCCAATGATTTGGCTGCCCCCAACTACTTTCCCAGGCCACAAGCAGGGAACTGGATGGGAAGTGGGGCCGCCAGGATTAAAACCTGTGCCCACATGGGATCCTGGCACGTTCAAGGCAAGGACTTTAGCCACTAGCTACCATGCCGGGCCCCTCTTTACTCTTCAAGATGTGAACTCAAGCTCAAAGGCGCAGCAACTCCAGACAGTTCCTCTGAAGACTCCACAGTCACCCTGCTACACCACACCCCAGCGAGAAGCCCAAGCTCTGCTTGCCCGAGCAACCCTTCCCAGGTCACCTGGCCACTCCCTGTCTTTTCTTCCATCCCGAATTCAAGATCAGAAGTATATAGGTTTACAGCTCTGGCAAAGATGAGCCATAACTCTTTTTTAAAAAACAGATTTATTTGAGGCCTGATGTGGTGGCCTAGTAGCTAAGGTCCTCACCTTGAACATGCCATGATCCCATATGGGCATGGATTCTAGTCCCAGAAGCCCTACCTCCCTTCAGCTCTCTGTAGCCCGGGAAAGCAATCACAGATGGTCCAGAGCCATGGGACCCTGCACCTGCATGGGAGACCTGGAGGAGGCTTTGGGCTCCTGCTTCAGAACTGCTTAGCTCCGGCCACTGTGGCTGCTTGGGGAGTGAATCAGCTGATGGAAGATCTTCCTCTCTGTCTCTCCTCTTCTCTGTATATCTGCCTTTCCAATAAAAATAAATAAATAAATCTTAAAAAAAAAAAGGCATAGACCTGACAGATGCTCAGAGCTTCCATGTGCTGCTAACTGCACCTGATTTTACATACATAAGAACTTTTATCCACACTCAATTTTGTGTCTCATTCGGAAACAATCTTGTCTTTGGAGGGATGGTGGGCAGAGAAGCTGTTAAGATACTATGCCTGGGTCCAGCGTGATAGCAAAGTGGCTAAAGTCCTCGCCTTGCAGCGCCAGGATCCCATATAGGCGACCAGTTCTAATCCTGGCAGTTCCACTTCCCATCCAGCTCCCTGCTTGTGGCCTGGGAAAGCAGTCGAGGATGGCCCAAAGCTTTGGGACCCTGCACCTGTGTGGGAGATCTGGAAGAAGTTCCTGGTTCCTGGCTTCGGATCGGCGCAGCACCGGCCGTTGTGGCTGCCTGGGGAATGATTCATTGGACAGAAGATCTTCCTCTCTGTATATCTGACTTTCCAATAAAAATGAATAAATATTATAAAAAATAATTAAAAGAGACTATGCCTAATTGTAGGGTTTGTGGCAGGGGAGGGGGCGGAGACAGGACGACAGTTGGTCTGAAACCCCCGTACATCCACCCATTCAGAGCTTCGTGGAGTGCCACCCCAGGGCAGGGAGGGCTGAAATCTGAAGTGGTCAGACGAGCTGCAGCTGGCCCACTGCCCATGGGCAGTCGCTGGCCCAGGGACCTCCAGCTCCAGCTGCAGACTGCGGTGCTGCTCGCATGCATACTGCCAGGGACAGGTGACCACCTGAGCCAGCAGCCCATTCCTGATCACACAAACCCAGCCGAAGACAAGGCCAGTCTTGCTTAGGCTCTCGCGCTTTTAATTTACATTCCCAACGATGGTGTGCAAGATTTTCTTCTCCCAGGTCTCAAACTTGGAGCTGGATGGGAAGCAGGGCTGCTGGGATTAGAATTGGCGCCCATATGGGATCCTGGCACATGCAAGGCGAGAACTTTAGCTGCTAGGCTACTACGCTGGGCCCTTTGTTTACGCTCTTAGTAGCATTTTTTTTTTATCAGAATTTTGTTGCAGAAATCTTTCCAAGCTTCTTGTCCATTTCCTTAGAGGGTTAGTTTAGTTAAAATGAAGTAACCTATACGTCCAACCAACATGGCTCTGGTTAAGCTGTAGCTTGCTGAACCATGGTGAAAACTAAAAAGTACGTGAAGTCCCTGTTTCCTGCAGCGAGAACTCCTGTTTTCTGTTCTTTCTTCTTCTTTTTTTTTTTTTTGGAAGATTTATTTTCTTTTTTATTGGAAAGTTAGATACACAGAGAAGAGGAGAGACAGAGAGGAAGATCTTCAATCTAATGATTGACTCCCCAAGTGACTGCAATGGCCGGTGTTGCACCAGTCTGAAGCCAGAAGCCAGAACTGCTTCTGAGTCTCCCATGCAGGTGCAGGGTCCCAAGGCTTCGGGCTGTCTTCGACTGCTTTCCCAGGCCACAAGCAGGGAGCTGGATGGGAAGTGGAGCTGCTGGGATTAGAACTGGCGCCCATATGGGA